ATATATATAAGCTAATTATAATCTATTTACAAGGTGTTATGTTACTAAGGATAATAAAGGATAAGAGGGTGTATGTAAGACAGGACGATACAAATGAGGAAACAAAACAGACACAAGAAAACGGCAAGTTACAGAAGGTTAAGCGGAATAGAGCTACCCTGGACGTTAAGAGTAGGTTTGAGTTTAGATATAAAAAGGCTTTCGTGAATCAATAATTCACAAGTGTCTGAGCAAGAGGAAAGAATTTTGAAGTCATCAAAGTTGGCACAGTGCCCTGTAGTATTTAAGTGAAAGAAAATACTAGACATGACTGGACTGGATGACGACTGGCCTGTTATAGGAGTGAGTCCCAGGTGTTATAGGAGTGAGTCTGATACTTATATATATTCACATCTCGTGTAATTTTATCTAGTCTGAAGATGTCTTAAGTTAAAGACGAAACGTTACAATTAAAATTCTTTACAATCTTTTAAAACTGTTTTAATGGCTTTGTTAAAAGTTATATGTTGGGCTCTCATATTTATTATAGTACTCATTAGTTTTGAGCGCTTCTTACGTAACATACAAAAAAATCTCCTCTTAATATACAATGAATTGTTGAGCCTTAACGCAAAGTTTATGGCAGTTATTCTAAATCCTACCTTTTGAGAGATCCACGCCAAATTTGTGCCATTTGTTTTCAAGTTCTATGAGACGAAGAAGGTCAAATAATAATACTGTTAGAGAATTGTCAGTAAAATATGAATTTTTAAACATTTGGAATGCATGGTTAGGTTTATAAAATATTGAAACCATATTAAATTCTTACCGTCATTAACGGTATTATGATCATGGCGAACGATTTTGTGTTTTCGAGCGCCTGCAAAATACAATTGTGAATAAAGCATGCATGCGACGGAATCAGTGGTGCCTAAATTACTTTGAATTTGTACTCGAGTGAAAGTAATAGTAATTAACAATAAAACGACTTGAGTAAGAGTAAAAAGTACTGGAGGCAAAACGTACTTAAGTAAAAAGTACAAAGTATCCTTAAAAAATACTTGAAGTAAAAAGTAAACGTACTATTGTCTGTAGCGTGTAGGGGGGGGACTTATCCAATGGATTGACATACAAAAGACACAAAACAGCACACGCATTATATGCCTGCACCTATAATATACAATATTTCACGGCATGGTCTACTTTCCAGACCCCGTTGAAGATACAAGAAATCCATTAAATAATTAATGCTTATAAGTAAGCCACGAACGAGAGATCCCAGCGCATGTAGAGGTCCTATTACCTATCTCAAAATTAAACTGATATATCAGGGACAAATCACGTAAAATTAAACAAAAGTTAGAAAGTAACGAAATACTTGAAATGAAAATAACGAAGTAAAACGTTACTTCTTAAACGACTTCGTTCCAAGTAAAAAGTACTCCAGAAAAAGTTTACTTTGTTACATGCTGACTTCTCAAAAATAGTACTCAAGCACAGTAACGAAGTACAATTACTTTCAAAAATACTCGTACAGTAAATTCAAATTACTCATATAGTAAATTCAAAGGTGGAGCTCATGTTGCAGCACTGCACGGAATGTTAAACATTTATCCAGAATTTATTTCACGTCAAGGCCGCCTTTTGCTTAACAAAACCCATGCATATATAGAAGTTAGTATTTCTTGTGCACTTGTCAAGTTTTTCTTGGCGGCCGCCGGCCGTACACACGAATAAATTTTACTTGTCGAAAAGCTGGCACGAATAGCTTTGGAACAAGGAAAAAGGTTCCTATATAGTTAGCAAGGAAAAACTTTGAATTTTTTGCCGTACATACGACTTGCTCGTCTGTAGGGGACTTCAACCTAACAAGCATTTCGGAAAATTACCTTTGATACAGCTTATTAACATCTATGGTTAAAACATAATATATACACTCAATCATTGTACCTTTATGCTTATTCCGCGATGCGACAAGCGTCCAACAGAAACAAAACAGCAAGATAACCGAATTAACTTTCATTTTTCACAAAGTTGGCTTTGCGAGTTCAACAAAGAAATGATCAAGATACCTGCAATTTGCTAAGTTAAATTTTAGTTTTAAAAAAATCTCAATTCTTTTCAGCAACAGGATGTTCTTTGTTGAAATGTCATAGTTTAACGCTTGAAGCTTCGTGCTAATTTAAAACCTGCGATATTTGACTATACTAAGTTCGTGCTATAATACTCCACATGCAAAGTGTACAATAAACCTGCTACTTTATAAAGGCTTGCTTTTATGGCAAAATATTTTAAGACCACTTTTTCTTATGAATTTAATTTTGTCCCACGTTTGCTTTTTTTTCACTTTCTATACCAAAACTCCGTCAGATTGAATTAATTATGTACTTTCTGGCAAAAGAACCAAATTTGGTACAAAATTGCTAAATGATGATCTATAAACAGTGTTTGAAATTAACTTCGACATATATTCCGGGCGGAAAAGTCTTTTAAGTGCGGTTTTATTTAAATTAGCACTAACTGCAAAATACTGTCTTAAAACCGAGTTTATCGGTTAACCGAGTCAAATCTGAGTCCGTGTCAAATCCGAGCCCGAGTCAAATGTCCGAGTCACTGTTTAGCTGTCTTTGTCGGTTCAATGACTTAGTGGCCTAATCCTATTCCTAACCCTATTCGACTGTGAATTTTATTCAATTTCGTAACTCGGGCGTTTGACTCCGGCTCGGAGTTTACTCGGACTCGGATTTGACTTAGGGTTTTAAGAGAGTAAATTCATTTACCACATGCAGACGAGCAAGTTTTCTATAGAGGTTTGGTGACAATTTTGTTCCAAGCAGTGTCAATAACCAATATAATTGTAATTATAGTACAATTTATCACTAGGAAAATGTAGTTTTGCACTTTTGTTGAATCATGCACCGTCGGACTTCTTTCAATATATCAAAATCATCCCACCTCAAATTTCGTCCCGGCAAAGTGGAATCGTGTAAACAGCCCATACTTTAACCTGAGATCAGGCTCTAGACAGTTCTAGCGGTGTTTCAAATTGAAAGTATTCTCACATTATTGAAATTATAATACACAACTTCAAGAATGAAACCTTGGTCAATGACTGATTGTTGCACAGTCCCTAACATTGCTTATTCGTGCAATGATTCATGGGGAATGCGATGGAAATTGAGTAAAACGTAAAGGAGTTGGGTAAGCGACTGGGGACGAGTCAGGGTCAAGGAGGTGAAGTGCACATGGACTATTAACCTCTGCGCTTTCTGGTAAAACCTGTTAATAAATAAAGTAATTACTTACGGATTTATTGCAGAAATTTGCTTCGTATATAGTCCTCTCAAACGAATGCCTTGTTTTATTGCGGCAAAACTACGGTTTGTGGCTACTGCATGGGTACGCCTCTACTCGGCAGATATGACATCCCTTCAATAACATTTGAGTTTCTTTAACCGGCGTTTGAACTTCTCTTTAAGCCTTATGATGTATTTTAATACATCACAATCATCCCACCATCCATCTCGGCAAACCGGGATCGCGTAAACAGCCCCTTAGTGAGATGACCTTTATAGAGCTATCCAGTATATTTATTTCAATAATAATAATTTAATTTATACTATTTCCCCAATAAATACTTCTATTTCTTCATCTGGTAAGTTTCTGCTAAACGTCGCTACTTAGTGATTAGTTTTCCCAAAGCAATCCACAGTACATTTTCTTATGATGTTTGGAATGGGACTTATGATGATGATGATGCATTTTCATGAAATGTCGGTGGCGGTGATGATGATTGATGTGGGAATTTGCCTGTCACTGGCCACTTGTTTGGCAAAATCCCTGTCCCTCCTGCGTTCCCCGCTGTACTGCCTCCCCCAGGTTGGGAGGAAGAGTCTTTGGGAGGTTGAGATTTGGCTGTAGGTTGGTGTTTGGGTGACTCTGATTCACCTTCGGTAGGTGTGATTGTGGGTAACCCCTTACCCGGCTCGGGGGTGGTAAAAGCAGGGGTTGGGGCTAGGGTTGAATATTTTGGTGGCAGAGTGGGTATGATTGGTTTCTCCGAAGGCGGGTGTTCGGTGGGGGGAACTGTTGCTAGGGCTTCTCTAAGGGTGGTTTTAGGATAGTATATATAGAATGGATAGTGATAGAATGCGTTTTCATAGTCAGGGTTAAGTCCTTCTCCTTTTTTATCTCGGAATACATCACAACTGTGTTTACATTTTGTTTTCACTTCTTCATTTTCATTGCAGTAACCAACACTACCCCCAAGTCGGACATAATGTATCTTTGTCGAACTGCACTTCATCGTCCTTGTCTGGTGAATAAAAGAAATAAAGTTGGTTATATTACAGAAACAGGATGTATAAATTGTGGATTGTGGAAGCACCGGTGTTAACCATTTCTCAGGTTAGTGTCGTTCTTGAATAACCTTTACGATCCAAGCAACTCTCTAGAGTGCTTACAGTGGCGTAACCGCTTTGGGCTCTGCCCGGCAACGGTCGAGGCCCACTTGACCGGGATGGACTTCTTTCCGATTTTGACTTCTAATTCTTAATTTTAACAACTTTATTGGAGCACAGTATCACACTAACGTAAACTATTCAAAGGTCCAAAAGGGAAGATGCATACGAGACGATAAGTCTCATGCAAGGCACTTCCCTTAACAATTATAGTACAGAACACTATACAAAGCATGAAAATATATATTAGAGTGTACTGAACAGCATGGTTGGGAAATGCAAACAAAAATTATTAGACCTAAATACTCGACACTATTAAAGTCGTGATAAAAGGTGCAGTTTATTTACAACAAGCACCGAGGGGGGATATTCAAATAATTTATTCCACTCAGGTACCAAAGGTCTGTACAGAGAGATATCGGACCGAGGTCTTTTTTGTACAGACCGAGCCCGTATAGTGCGAGGTTTGTACAAAAAGACCGAGGTCCGATATTTTTCTGTACATACCGAGCAAGGGAGGTTAATAAAAATTTATCATATGGCATTTATAGGCATTTATACTTGAAACAAACAAGAAATGCATGATTTGAAATGCATGCATATTAGTAGCGTGGTACACATTTGGTCGAAGAAAACAAAAAATACCAATGTATTCCTTCTTTTCCACCAAAAACCTTGCAGATATGATCAATTAGTTTTACTATTTTGTTTTAAAATGCATGCGTTTGTTTTTTCGTGATGGACCGCCGGTCCATTATGGGGAAACAGGGCCGTAGCAACCGGGGGGGCTGGGGGGGGGCTGCAGCCCCCCCAATAATTTGCTAATAATCATTCTTTTTTCAAAATCATGCAAACTTTATCATTTAATCTGTGACAAACTGCAAAGAATGAAGATATTACTCATACTCCAGATCGTTCCTCGCGTAGAAATTTTAGCTGAATTTCTGTCGCGCATTTTCAAGAAAATCCCACAAAATCTGCACATTTTTGATGAACTAATGATTTATTTTGTCTTTTGCGTGTTGGGTCTTGCGAAAGAAAACTCTGAAAATGCCATTTCAGACCATCTAGAGACTCCAGATTTTCGAAATTTTCTCAAATGTTCTGCCTTCATTTCCGCGCAACTGCCATTTACGACGAAAATTCCCGCCGCGCATTTATAATACTACAGTCTGGCCCATACTTTCCTGTAAATTTCGACATACTAAAACGCTGTTTTCTGACTATCAGAATTCTGTTAAATCTTCCCCCAAAGTCCAGGAAATGGCATTTTAGAGACTCTAAATTTAAAAATTTCCTCGGGCATTCGGTCCTCGCTTTCAGCCCCCCCAATCGAAAAGAGCTTCCTACGGCCCTGGGAAATAATGGACCGCTGAAAGCGCTTCTCAGCCAATTACAGTCCACCATTTCACCAGAAGTGATGCTTGCCATATAATAATGTATGCATAATACATAATTTGATTCGCTGGCTGAGGTATTTAGTCTCCGAGTGTCCTTTAGTTTTGTAAATAAATTTTGCTTACTATACTATACTCTATAGGTTTCCTCCTGCACTCGGCCAAAAGGGAACTAGGTTGTAGGGAGAGCAGTTAAGAACTGATAGAGCTATCTAGTATAAACAAAGTAAGTTTGGTTTGATCAACTAACCTTTACCACACAACAAACAACTTAATTTACAGTATTTCTTCATGTAATGTGGAAAACGAATACAGTCTCCGTTGTGTGCCCACGCTGGACATTGCCATTTCTCATCTTCGCATTTTGGAGGACGTTTGATCTTTGCTGAGGAAATGGAACAGTCAACGCATTTGGTAAGTTTACTTTTACATTATATAGGCCCATTTACACGCGTAAAAACACGCAGCTTGTAACAAGTCTGCAAACAAGAGTTATAAGTCTGTTCACAAGCTGTCAACAATTTTGTGTTCGCAGTGCTTGTTCCCAGTTGTTGCAACAAGTTTGTAACAAGCTGTGTTAACAACTTGTAACAAGCTTGATGGCATTATCAGACTTGTTACAAGGCTGTGCTAACAACTTTTTGCAGCCATGATATAACAAGCATGTTGCAAGGCTGTCAACACAAGGTTGTAACATTTTGTTATATCAAACATGTAACGTACTTGTCAAGACAACCTTGCAACAAACCTGATAATTTCGACAGCGTCGTTACAAGTTGTCAACAAGCTAGTTGTTCCAAAACTGTTGACAACTTGTGACAAGCAGTGCGAAGACAACTTGTTGACGGCTTGTTGACAAACTTGTTACAAGATGTGAGATTTTTGCGTGTGTATATATACGTCAGTCTTTTTGGCAGCATGCTTAAATTTTGGCACGTGACTCACGCGTTTTGGTCCGCCTATAGTTCGTTTACACGACGAAATTTTTCAGGGGTTCTAAAAATTTTGGGTTCGGCACGCCATTCTATTCAATTTTTACATTGTATTTCCATGTACATATATTTTTTCAACTGTACGTTCATAAACTCATATAAACCTATAATATAACGGTCAGTGCCAGTGTGGGCAGCAGTGGCTCCCAGGAAGAAAAGGGTAGGGGTGCACTGAGTCGGTCTAACTTCTATGGTCTCTCCTTACTTTTTTGTGGAGGAGCACAAAATCTGCAAGGGAGTGGACAGCGGTCAAGCATAGCATAAAAGTTGAGACTGCAATATCCAATCAGTTTCAGATAAGCACATGAGGCAATGCTGTATAAACTAGACGAGACCGGAACCGCAACTCTGTCGTTTTCAGAGAGATAAAATATCATACGTTTTTGTGTCTAACAAAAGTTCACAGTCAGGAAGAAATTTGGACTACACAAGCAAAATGTACACTATTAACACTTCATTATGACGTTTAACGTTTGTCAATCTTTTCATTCTAACATTTGCGAGCTCTCTCCTTGATGACTTGAAGTGTTTGCCTGTCTGGCAGAGAGACAAAGTAACATATGACTTAGCCTGCGAACAGGCTCTCAAGCTGAATTGAGAGCCTGCATCGATGACTAATGAATTTGAATATCTGCCCCGTAACGTTCGTTTTTCCAAATATGGAATGTCTATCCTTATATGGTGTTGTTTACAACTTTCGTGCAAACTAAATTTAGACCGTGCAAACTAAATTTAGACCGTACAGTTTATACTGTTTTTTGAAATATAAAATATTCAAGCAAAAGTTCGAATGTTTTAAATACTGTTTTCTCAAAACAGAACATTTCGTGCTTTGAGATAAGATGGCCAAGACCAATTTGATCAGTTAATGTGTTTTTTATGCATAGTGCTAGCAGTTGACATATATAGAGCTCAGCGGAAACGTATAAATTATAGCATCTGACCAATGAGAATTTTGCGTCACGATTTGAGACGCAGATATTCAAATTCATTAGTCATCGATGCAGGCTCTCAATTCAGCTTGAGAGCCTGTTCGCAGGCTACATATGACTCTATATGGCTTAATAAATTTGTTCCGGTTCCAGCCGCAACTTTTTTCTGGATCCAGTTCTGGCCGGAATTTTAAAAATTGGTTACGGTGCATCCCTAACTTACGGATTTATGGCAAAAATGTGCTTGATATAGTTTTATTGTGGCAAAACCACGGTTTGTAGCTACTTGGTACATCTGTTTGCGGCATATATGAGATATTTTCAACAACATTTGAGTTCTTTTAACCGGCGTTTGAACTTTCGTTTAAGCATTGTGATGCATTATAATACACCAAGATCATCCCATCATCCATCCAGTTCCGGCAAAGCGGGATTATGTAAACGGCCCCTTAGTGGAATGACCTTCAGTATAGAGCTATCCAGTATAAACAACTTTTTAGTTTATTTCAATAATTTAATTTATACTATTTCCCCAATAAATACTTCTATTTCTTCATCTGGTAAGTTTCTGCTAAACGTCACTGCTTAGTGATTAGTTTCCCCAAAGTAATCTGTATTTTCTTGTGTGAGTGTTTCTTATGATGTTTGGAATGGGACTTATGATGATGCTTGTGCATTTTCATAAAATGTCGGTGGCGGTGATGATGATTGATGTGGAAATTTGCCTGTCACCGGCCACTTCTGTGGTAACATGCCTGTTCCTCCTGCACTCCCCCCTGCAACGCCTCCCCCAGGTTGGGAGGAAGAGTCTTTGGGAGGTTGAGATTTGCCTGTAGGTTGGGGTTTGGGTGGTAACCCCTTACCCGGCTCGGGGGTGGTAAAAGCAGGGGTTGGGGCTAGGGTTGAATATTTTGGAGGAAGGGTGGGTGTGATTGGTTTCTCCGAAGGCGGGTGTGCGGTGGGGGGAACTGTAGCGAGGGGTTCTTTGAGGGTGGTATAAGGATAGTATATATAGAATGGGTAATGATAGAATGCGTTTTCATAGTCAGGGTCAAGTCCTTCTCCATTTTTATCTTGGTATACATCACAACTGTGTTTACATTTTGTTTTCACTTCTTCGTTTTCATTGCAGTAGCCAACACTTCCCCAAGTCGGACATAATGTATCTTTGTCGAACTGCACTTCATCGTCCTTGTCTGGTGAATAAAAGAAAGAAAGAAAGTTGGTTATATCATAGAAACTGGATGTACAAATTGTGTATTGTGGAAGCACCGCTGTTAATCTTTTCTCAGGTTAATGTTGTTCTTGAATAACAATCCAAGCAACCTTCTAAAGTGCTTACAGTGGCGTAACCGCTTTGGGCTCTGCCCGGCAAAGGTCGAGGCGGGCTACTTGACCGGGATGGACTTTTTTCCGATTTTGAATTATAATTCTTAATTTTAACAACTTTATTGGACCACAATATAACACTAACATAAACTATTCAATGACAATGGCTCAAAAGAGAAGATGCAAAGAGACAACAATTATAATATATAGAAGTACTATTTAAAACATGAGTAGCAGTGTATTATCAAATATAAAGATACGAGGCGAAGCCGAGTATCTTTAGGTCTGATAAAACACGCACTGCGAATGTTTTAAATAGTACTTCAAAAACGATCAATCTAGTAAGCTCATTATTGGCGAAGTATTTTCAAAAAATACGTTGTGTAAGTCGAGAAAATCAAAGTTAAAGTTTAAGTGAATCAAGGGGAATCTCTATCACATATCAAGATACGCGACACGCTTATGATTTTTCTTTGTGTATTTAGGTATTTAGTATCGAGTGTCCCTTAGTTTTGTAAATAAATTTTGCTTGGTATAGGTTTCCTCCTGCACTCGACCAAAAGGGAACTAGGTTGTAGGGAGAGCAGTTAAGAACTGATAGAGCTATCTAGTATAAACAAAGTAAGTTTGGTTTGATCAACTAACCTTTACCACACAACAAACAACTTAATTTACAGTATTTCTTCATGTAGTGTGGAAAACGAATACAGTCTCCGTTGTGTGCCCACACTGGACATTGCCATTTCTCATCTTCGCATTTTGGAGGACGTTTGATCTCTGCTGAGGAAGTAATTAAACGCATGTGGTAAGTTTATACTTTTACATTAGTCTCATTTACACATGCATCAGTCCTTTTGAGTGCAGCACGCTTAAATTTTGGCACGCGGACACACGCTTTTTTGTCCGCCTATTGCGTTTACACGACGTCATTTTTCAGGGGTTCTAAAAATTTTCCGTTCGCCATTCTGTTCAATTTTTACATTGTAATTCCATGCACTTATATTTTTTCAACTATATAAGTTTATAAACACAATAAACCTAGCATATAACGGCCAGTGTAGGTAGCAGTGGCTCCTAGGAAGAAAAGGGTATAGGGGTGCACTGAGTCTGTCTAACTTCTAAGGTCTCTATACTTACTTTTTTGTGGGGGAGCACAAAATCTGCAAGCGAGTGGACAGCGTTCCCGCATAACAAAGAAGTTGAGACTGCAATACCCAATCAGTTTCAAATAAGCACATGAGGCAATGCTGTTCTTGCACATTTCTGGCTCGATGTAAACTAGACGAGAGAACATATATATAAGTTCATGAACTAAAGTTAGCAGTAGTAATATTTTCTGCATACTAATACAAAATGCAAGCCCTCTGCCTGCATGCTGTTCAACACTAAGCTATATCTCCCTGCGCAGCATGAGCTTGACCTTTGAATTTACTATATAACAAAAGTAAATTGTTAAACAGGTCCGAATTTATTAATACAATAAATTCGCGTCACGAATTTATTATATTACCTACCTTTTGAGAGATCCACGCCAATTTTGTGCCATTTGTTTCAAGTTCTGTGAGACGAAGAAGGTCAAATAATACTGCTGTTAGAAAATTTCCAGTAAAATATGAATTTTTAAACATTTGAAATGCAGGGTTAATAGGTTTATAAAATAGTGAAATCGTTATTCTTACTTTCAACCGTATTTTGACCATGGCGATCATTTTTGTGTTTTTGAGCACCTGCAAAATAAAAGTTAGTGGCTAGTCCTTTCAACCAATCACAATTCAGTAATTTTGTGATGTAAGTAAAATGATCAATAGATGATTCTAGCTATATACTAAATTTTGATATAGGCAAGAAAGACAAATCCATCACCACAGCTATATAGAAAGAGAATGTTAAAATTAGTAACATTGCAAAGTTTGGCTGCGAAATGTTGTAAAATGAAGAAAGTATAGCCCTACGAAATTTGCAAATTTTGTATTGATTTGTATTACGCACGGGAGAATGATGCACCACTTTCGGCCCAAATGTGGTGCATTTTCCCTGCGTAATACAAATTAACACAAAATTTGCAAATTTCGTAGGGCCATATTTATTTTCTGCATTTTACAACATTTCACGGCTAAACTTTGCAATTTTACTAATTTTAACATGCTCTTTCAAGCTATGGTGATGGATTTTGTTCTTTTTGCCTAGATCAAAATTTACTCTATCGCTCGAATTATCCATCCGGTGAATCAAGAGGGGTACACCTTCACAAAGATTTGCCCGATTGGTGATACGCTCCATTTTTGGAACGTTCACATCACGATGGAAAGGACGCAGGAATACGTTTACGTCCAGTAGGTAAAATAGAAGTTTATGCATGGGTTAAGGATATCCAGTTATATGATTGGGTTAGAATCATAGGGAAATTAACATATCGTGCGCGGAACATTAAGATATTAAGCCTTATCCAGGAAAACTTGCTCGTCGGGTTTCCTTGCAGGCAAGTTTCTTTGACAATTTAGGTTACCTTCTCGTGGCTGATGCATGTAGTCAACAATTTTCCGTTGACAAGTTTCCCTTGACAAATTTTGTTGCTCATCTGCACAGAATGTTATTAAACATCTATATCACGTCAAGGCCGCCTTTTGCTTAAGAGAAGATTTTTTTGTATGTTACGTAACACGCGCTCAAAACTAATGCGTATAATATACCACTTGAGGTTATGACTAAATTCAAAAATTTTATTTTTCAATACGTTTCTCAATCGGCAAACAAACTTAAACAGTATGTTTAGTGCTTTATCTGTAAAATAATACTAAAACGAAAAGATTTTAGATGGTGCGCCAAAGAGAAAATGACGTCTGAAGTTCGGTAAGTTTGGCTTATATGGCTGTAAAAATGGCGTCAATTTTAAAGCATCGTTGGTTGATAATTATATTTTAATTGACAATTTATGACTATTATTTAAAAAGGTTGCTAACTGTATAAACTATAGAGAATTAAGCTAAAACAAAGTAATTTTGAAAGGAACGCCAAAAAGATTTCAGGTTTTGAACGCTTTTCATTGCAAATACGTGACATTGAAAAAAATTGCCTCCACAAAACCATAGACGTATTTCCTGTACACTTGCCAGGTTTTCCTTGGCAGCCGCATATACACACGAGTAAATTTTACTTCTCATGCAGTCCAAAAGTTGGCATGACTAGCTTTGCAACAAGGCACCTTAATGGACCTTTCATCTTTTGACTAAAGTTTAGATCTCAACAAGTCTAGACAAAAATTTTGTCACAGCTTGAAAGAGCATCACAAAATTAGTAATATTCCAAAGTTTCATTGTGAAATGTTGTAAAATGCGGATAATATAGCCTTGCGAAGTTTGTCATCTTCAGTCATTTTGTATTACGCGCGGGAAATACATACCTCCTTCGGAAAAAGGGTATGTATTTCCCGTTTGTTGCTCTTTCAAGCTGTGATAAAATTTTTGTCTAGACTTGTTGAAATCTAGATTTTAGTCAAAAGGTGAAAGGTCCATTGGCAAGAAAAAATTGTGAATTTTTTAACATTCACAAGAGCAAATAAAACTTGTCAAGGCAAACTTGCTCGTCTGTACAGGAGGCTTTAACCTAACAAGCATTTCGAAAAATCATCTCTGTTACAGCTTATTAATATCTATGGTTAATATACATAATATATACATTCAATTATTGTACCGTTATTTTCAATCCGCGATGTGACAAGCGTCCAACACAAACAAAACAGCAAGATAACCGAATTGACTTTCATTTTTCACAAAGTTAGCTTTGCGAGTTCAACAAAGAAATGATCAAAGATACCTGCAGTTTGCTAAATTAAATTGTAGTTTAAAAAATCTCAATTCTTTTCAGCAACAGGATGTTCTTTGTTGAAATGTTTTATTTCAATGCTTGAAGCTTCGTGCTAATTTAAAACCTGCATGCGATATTTGACTTGTCTAAGTTCGTGCTATTATATGTATAAAAAATCTGCTGGTTTACGAAGGATTCCTTTTATGCCAAAATATTTCAGCACCACTTGTTCTTATAAATGTAATGCCGTCCTATTTTTAATCTCTTTTTCACTTTCTACCAAAACTCCAGCTCAATGATTTTACAATTTTGCATTTTCTGCCTGGCAAGAAAACCAAATTTGGGTCAATAATATAGCTTATGATATTCTAAACAATGTTTGAAATTAACTTCAAAAACTCATTAATAATTCATGAGGAAAAATCATAAGCGTGTCGTATCTTTATTTGTGATAGAGATTTCCCTTGATTTACATAAACTTTAATTTTGATTTTCTCGACTTACACAACGTATTTTTTGAAAATTACTTCGCCATTGAACTTACTAGATCGATCGTTTTTGAAGGAATTTAAAACATTTGCAGTGCGTGTTTTATCAGACCTAAAGACACTCGGCTTTGCCTCATATCTTTATATCCGATAAAACACTGCTGCTCATGTTTTAAATAGTACTTCAACATATGTTTCAGGAAAAAGTCGATTAAGTGCAGTTATTTTTAATACTAACAATATTAAAGGTTATTTTAAAATACTGTCGTCCATATATAAAATACATGAACTTCCAAGTTCACTATCATGTTTATTTTTTGCAAACTTTCCTTATGATATAAAACATTGGAAAATTACTGGAGTGTTCATTTTATTCTTTTGAAACAGTCTGAAACTTCAAACATTAGGTAAGCATGCATGTGCTTGTATAGTGGTACGCTCCAGTAATTCTGCAAACATGGTCTATAGACGGCTTTTCGTAACTGAAAATTTCACGTTTCTTTGAAGATCGATGCATGGACTTTTGTGTGAAAGATTACACCACATCATCGATTTTTTACTGGATTTATGGGAAAGATTTCAATGAGTATATTTTGATTATTGAATATACTTTAGTATGCCATAGGCTATATCACCCAGTGTGCTATATATTTTTCCCGTTGCTTATTCCCATGCTTATTAGAAGTTCTGTATTTTAAAGGGAATGTGTAAATATGTTGTCGGGACATAGAACTCGAATGTAACTCTTCTTTAGCGGGGGCACACCAAATGTATCTAGTATTTTTATAATGGTTCTAAAACAAAGATAAATTCACTCAAAGATATACTTTAAAATATTCAGTATTTTATTGACATTGCAGCCTAAGCCAATAAATATACACACAGATGATTATATATTATATACAAATATACGAATTATTCAATATTATTTTAAATTAATAAGAGAAGTCCTAATATTTCTGCCCCCTCCCCCTCCCCTAATGTTCATATACGGAATTCCTGATATTCAATCCATTATGTATAGATGTATAAGTTAGAGAAGTCATTAAAAATAGTATAAAAATATTAAAGTCCCTTATTTCAAAAGTTTGGCCGCAATAAAACAAGGCAGTACAAATGTCCCAGCAACGATAGCTGCAGCAACAACGTGGTTTTTCACACGTTGTTCCAATGTCGTGTCCATGATATTTTCTTCGAAGATTTAATTTTCATTGTCGGCTGACAGCCATCTATTGATATCACTAGCTGGCAGATTTTCTGGTTCAATGTTGTTGTAAACTTCAATACGAATGTCACTTTCAGATTCTGATCGCTGCAAACTGATTCCATGTTCAGCATATTCACCTTCATGAAATGAGAATAACTGATTAGAGTTAATAAGGGCACGTTCTATTTAGTATATTTTGTTAGTAAGTTTGTATATTTAGTTACTTAGTTGGGTAGGTAATCAGGTGGTCTGTCAGTTGCGTGGTCTGGCGATCGGTGGGTTAGGGATTGTGTGGCGGTGGGATAATATGGTTAAGCAATGTTTACAACTTAACACAAACCTGGGTAGAGCTCCAAGCTATCCTCGTATAAACCTTCACTGCTCAGATCACAATCGTACAAGCTGCTGCTGGTCGATTCATCACCATAATTGACATTGCTGGTACACAGCCATCTATTGATATCACCAGCTGGCAGATTTTCTGGTTCAATGTTGTTGTAAACTTCAATACGAATGTCACTTTCAGATTCTGATCGCTGCAAACTGATTCCATGTTCAGCATATTCACCTTCATGAAATGAGAATAACTGATTAGAGTTAATAAGGGCACGTTCTATTTAGTATATTTTGTTAGTAAGTTAGTATTTAGTTACTTAGTTGGGTAGGTAATCAGGTGGTCTGGCGCGTGTCTGTCGATCTGGCGATCGGTTGGTTAGGGATTGTGTGGCGGTGGGATAATGTGGTTAAGCAATGTTTACACAAACCTGGGTAGAGCTCCAAGCTATCCTCGTATAAACCTTCACTGGTCAGATCACAATCGTACAAGCTGCTGTCGGTCGAATCATCACCATGATTGACATTGCTGGTATAACTATTAGATGGTATATGGTTGTTTCTGTCACGACATTCCAGAATCCATTGGTCACCATTACCATGGTTACCACAGTTCATATCACCATTCTCTTGATGACTTTCTTCAATCCGGTCATCACAACCACTTGTTGTTGCCACGGTGACTGGGTCTCCGTCAGAACTACAACTCAAGCAGGAAACCACCTCCTTAGGAACCGAGCTATGACAAGAACTGTGAGAAGAAGCTCTGCTGTCTACATCACAGGCCACATCATAACTCTGCCCGTACTCTATACCGGTACTAGCAGTACCACCATCATCCGAAGTCAAAGTCTCCTGACTTGAGTCAAGTTCTATTTTTTCCCAGTCCTCGTCACCCAGTATCAATCCGAAGTTACCACAGTCGCTTGGAAATACGAAGAATTCGTCTGGGAAATCTTCATCACAGCTCTCCTCGAATAAACTGTCCGAACTGTTGAAACTGAGAGAGTGGTTCAACTGTGGTGGGATGGTAGTGGGTGGAATGGTCTGGTTGTTGGGTGTGGCTGTTTGTAGATCATCAACACTGCTACTGGCTGTAACGCTGTCGTAGTCAGTGTCCACGTGTTCTCCACCCGATAAGTCAGTGGACTCTTCATCGCTCTCCACGTGACTATCACATGAGTCGGTTGTTTTTTCATCGCATGATGAGTCGGTAGTTAAATCGTCAGTGTTCACATGCTCATCACGTGCTATGTCATTCTGGACATGGATGGTTTTCTCAGATGGATTTGTGGAGATCTTTCGAAGTATTGCTCTTTTAGGTTTACCAAACAATTTGCAGATAACTTTGAAGATGATCGGTCTGTAGGAATAGCAGAAAGAAAATAATTAGTGCATATGCCCTTTCACTTCTGAGACAGAGGTTCAATTCATACAATATGCAGTTGGCTTATCAAATTTCGTCGCATACAAGAAGAGTGCCAAACCCCACAGGATGTTTCCAGGTACCCTGGTTTCCTCTTGGGTGTGGCCCTCACTTAACCCATACGGAGAATAGTTTAGACCTGATAGAGCTATCTGAGGGAAAAAACGTTAGTTTAGTTTTATTTACCAATTCAGTATATCTTACCGGAGTCTAGCTCCATGGAATTTCCAGAGAGCAAGAAGGTAGCTTACGCCAATGAAAAATTTCTGGCTTTCAGTCAGGCGAATTATGTAATTGATACTTTCTAAAAAGACAAAAGAAAAAGTCGATTTCAAAATAGAAATTTTAGATATATAGTTCACCGTTAAGATTATGGTCCAAAGGATATGTTAAATTAAAGATTTAGTCTTACCCTTAAAGAATGCCTGTACTTTTGAGCCAAAGCCGGTTTGGTTATTCTCGCTTGATGTTTCAGCTAAAATATATAGAAGAAATGGCATTGTTAATATGCCAAAATATTCATATTTGTGATGAAAGCTATTTGATTGACTATTAAATTAATAAATATGTCTTAAACGTGAGCAGAATGTTGATTTGTTTTTAGATAAAACTCAGATTTAGGTAAAAGTTGCCAGTTGGTTAATTGGTTTGAAGAATTCATTTTGCTTTAATAAAAAACACCAAAAAAATTGTAAAAGTTTATAAAGGAAAAGCCAGAAACATGTCTATAATAAAAACAACGTGTAGGCAAAACTCAAAAAACTTCAATGAAACGATTCTCTATGAAAAATCTGAAAAACAAAACAACTTTGTTTGTCGAAAAAAGAAACAAAAAAAGTTTTGCAAAAAAAGTTTTTCGACTTACCGAAAAGCCGTAGATTTTCCCGTTCGGCAGTTAGATTCAGTTTCTTTGCTTGCTCTGTCAGATTGTAAAGTTCAAGTGAACTGTTGTTCTTCTTTAAAGTTGAAAAACACTGCTTTGAAGTGTTTACATAAAAAGGACAACTTTCAGCAAAGCTATCAGTGATGGATTTTTGTAGCTTGCTTTGTCCTTGGTTAACATCGCTCACAATGTTGTTATTTGTGGCGAAGGAACTCACGAACCCATGTTCGGCGTTCATCGACTTATTGTCGTTGCCTGTCGAAGACAGGAAAAGTATTGAAAATACTATTTTAATCGCTAAATCTTCGCATAAAAGCATTTCTCACAAGAGCGCACAATTTTAGAACAACTTCTCGAGAAAAAAATGTGCGAAATGATAGTTGCTTGGAAACAACGTGAATTTCTGATTGTTACGTCATGTAATTAGATAATTGGATAATTGGCCTCGCGTGTAATTAACGTGTCGCACGCGGATTTCGCATTACGCGCGCGGATTTCGCGTTACGCGCGCGAAATTGATGAAAATGTACAGTCACAGAGTACAGACCATACAGAGGTTCGACCTTAGCCAACTCGGCCTAATAACCTTAGCCACTGCGCTCACGAAAGGCACTCGCCCCCCGGAATGTCTAAGCCAAGCCGGTCATTTTGAATGATTTCAGGGGGTGACGCGGCCTCCATTAGCGTAATGCCTTAGACGATGGCGGCCGATACGGACTTCTTTACGCGTCTCTATTCTCGCTTTTCTTAAATCAAGTTCAGATCACTATTTACCATTGTTCATTACAAGTAATGAAATCGATAGCAGACCACTAATAAACTAAAATAATGTGTTCGCGTGCAGAAAAAAGATTTTAATACTCGAACTCTTTAAATTGCATTTTATTTTTAATACATAACAAACTCTATATTCTAGCAATATATGCTCATAATATGTTTAAAGGTGATCCACAGTCCGTATGTAAACAAAGCCTTTGTTTACATTTTTGTGTCCAAAATATTGAGCTTTATTCGACAACTATTTACATTTTCAAGCTTCTAGAGTATAATAAATGATCAAGAAACAACAATCAGGCTTTCCAAGAACTCAAATGATAGTTAAACTGTTTGTATCATAAAAAGTGGGCTCATTTGTGCACATGCGCAGTTCGGATTGTAGATCACCTTTAAAATTTTTTTGCTCAGGTTTATCTTTTTAACTAATCATTTCTTAACTTAACCTTCATTATCCTTTAAAAAATTTCTTTTTGTGAGCTTTTTAAAAATCTCATTATGCATGCATGTGTGCGTATTTGGTCATTTCTATCTTTCCAAAAACTCTCGTCTAAGATTCTTATTGTGAGTCGTATGCCTTTGTGCGTGTTTTTGTAACGTGATTTAGCATGGCCATTTTCTTGTGTCTCTTTGAGACTTTTAATCCTTGTTTAGGCTTGTGTATTTTTACGAAATGGCGACGTTCGGTTAGTGGTAGACAAAGTATGGGTATTGTTGAGTTTGCGGCTGGCCAGGCTGGACTTGAGTTGGGGGTTGGACTGGGGGTTGGACTGGGGGTTGGATTGGGGGTTGGACTGGGGGTTGGACTGGTGGCTGGACTGGGGATTGGACTGGGGGTTGGACTGGGGGTTGGACTGGGGGTTGGACTGGGGGTTGGACTGGGAGATAAGTCTGGGCGTTGCCTTGAGGCTGTTGCGGGGTTTGATTTGTGGCTGACGGTTGCGCTGGGTATTGTTGGTGTCCTGCTTGAACTGGGGGCTGGGTTTGTGGTTGTTGTGACGCTGTGTTGGAAGGGTATTGCGGTTGTTGGGTTTGAGGTAAGGTTTGGGTTTGACCTGGGTTTTGATTTGTGGGTTGAGATCCTGGAAGTTGGTTTGTTTGGGATGAGGGTTGAGGTAGAGGTTGGGACCCGGTTTGAGATGTTGTTTGGGTTCCAGTTTGAGATGGGGGTTGGGAACCAGCTTGAGATGAGGGTTGGGACCCAGTTTGAGATGTTGTTTGGGATCCAGTTTGAGATGAAGGTTGTGACCCAGTTTGAGATGAGGGTTGGGACCCAGTTTGAGATGTTGTTTGGGATCCAGTTTGAGATGAGGGTTGGGACCCAGTTTGAGATGTTGTCTGGGATCCAGTTTGAGATGTTGTCTGGGATCCACCTTGAGATGGGGGCATGTCTGGGGGTGTGGGGGTGTTTTGGATAGGTGGTGGTGTTTGCTCAGTAGTAGGCGGTCGTGTTTTTTGTGGGGGCTTTGTAGGTAGTGGGGTTATGGGTTTCTGGCCATGTGGGGTTGTTAGTTTCTCGGGTGGTGGGGTGGGTTTGTGTGTGCTAGGCGTACCAGGTTTGTGTCCAGAGGTTGTTAATTTTTGTGGAGGTGGGGTGGGTCTTGATCCACCACCTGGCCTACGTGTGCTGGTCTGAAATGGATAGGTTGGTGGAAGTGTCGTGTAGTGGGGTGGCAGGGTTGGTATGATCGGTGTTACTGGAGGTGGGTGTTGAGTGGGGGGAACTGTGGGTGTGTTCCTTCTGATCGTGGTAGAAGGATAGTATATGTAGAAAGGGTAGTAGTAAAACGCATTTTTATAGTTCAGATTTGGTTCTTGTTGTGGTTTTGTGTTTTTGTATACATCACAACTGTGTTTGCATTGTTCTTTTACATCATCGTTGTAGCAGTAACCAGCACTGGCCCAAGTCGGACACAAAATGTCACTATCGAACTTCATTGCATCATCAGAATCTGGGAAAATATAAGAATAATTAGGAATTGCCTAGTTTAGGTTACACTGGATTCAATATTTTTTCTCTTTAATAATAGAATGCTCTTCGTTAATGACGGAGTTCTCAATAACAGCGTGTTTCTCTTTTACAGATCAGAGTTGGACTTAATTAAACATGTTACCATCACAACCTTTGCAACCAAGATCCTCAAAAAGGTAAAAGTGAGTTATTACCAAAATCGCGGATTCTTCTTCTCGCCCAAAAAACCGTGCTATGTTTTCGTTTCTAAACATTCAGGAATGGTACTACGTTCCTAATGTCGACAACTGATTGGTCTGCGGGAAATTGTTCTAAAGTTGGCCATTAATACTTTGACATTTCAGTAGTAAGGCGTTCTCCACTAGGCGGAATTTTCCGCGCGGAGCGGAATTTCTCTTTGTATTTTCTAATTAGTTCCACCCGAGAAATCACAAGACAAAGAAAACTTTTCGCTCCGCACGGAAAATTCCGCCTAGTGGAAAACGGCCTTAATAGTCGTGAATGTTTCGAACAAAAACAAGGCTCGTTTTTTCTGGCAACTAAAAACGCTTCGGGCGACGACCGTTAACCAAGTATGCAAAAACTAGAGGAAGCTAGTAGCTACGGCAACAAGGCACTAATCTGTAGTTTTGCTTGACAATCCCATAATCATGTTGGTGTCGCATTCTGTCCCTATTTGATTTTTGTGATTGCCTTTCCAAATCAAAAAAATTATATGGAATTTAGTCAATCTAAGGCTACTCTGGCGATTTTTTATATAGAGTTAACCAATAACTCTATATTAATTAAAGGAGCAAGTTCTATTGCCCTCACACTATGCCCACATGATTTTTGTTCTAATTATTGGACATTGCCCAAGGACAAATTGCTTATATTTTAATTAAATTTGGATGAAAATTAGATGAGAAATAACCGATTAGTTAACTAGTTAATTCAACTAAGTTTTGATGCGCACATTTAGAATTTGGAGTTAGCCCAATAACTTCTGCAGTCACGTCCCCCTACTGTCTGTTACATGCCCTCTAAACGGACGGTGTCTTCGTCACAACTAACCTTTACCACACAACATACAACTCGCATTACAGTTTTCCTTCATGTATTCGGGAAAACGAAGACAATCTCCTTGATGTGCCCACACTGGACATTCCCAATCCTTGTCTTCACATTTTGCTTTCGTCTTTGCTAGAGAAATATACAGTCAACAGAAAATTTATTGATCCCCGGGGGATAGTATACAGGTTTCAGGGGTTGTTTACTACTCTCCCCACAGATATTTCTGAGTGTAGGTTCCACGTATTAATTAAGGCTGGTGTATACTATCGAAGTTTCTCTGATCACAGAGGTAAATTCTAAATTTCGAAGGATTTTTATAAGAAATCTTTGAGGGAACTGACTCAGTGTTTAACACTGTGACCACAGAAACTTGATTTATTCATTTGTTTGATGTTTTAAGTTGATCTGATTGATTAATTGGAGCATTAATTGATAGATCTGTTTAATTTGTTGATCATTTCATTGATTGATTGATCTGTTTGATGGATTGATCTGTTTGAGTGATTGGTCTGTTTGTTTGATTTATTGATTTGATCATTGATTGATTAATTTTATTTATCAATTGATTGACTTCACCCAGCGAAGCAAAAACGTCTAGGTGAGCAGTTGGCTCACAAGACCAACAACTTGATATTAATCTGCAAACAGAGCAGACTTAACTCGGAGTTCCCAATAGAATTTGGAGTAGGAGGCTTTGTAGAAGGAATAGTTGGCTATTTGTTGCTGAAGGTACCTCGCCAAGCGGAGTTCGAGGACGTCTCCCCATGAAAATTTTGAAATTTTGACCATCTGAATTCTGAAATGGCATTTCCAGCCATTTTTGGAGAGTAGTTTTATAGATTTTGTCATATCCAAATATTTGGCGAAGAATATCGTGTATGAAAGCAAGAAACCTTTCCCTTGACATTTTTTGGTAAGGAGGAAATATTTTGGTTTATAATTTGGTGAAATAGGCGGTGATTGTTTTGGGTGCTGTTGGGAACCCTGCTAAACATGGATTATTTGTAAAGGGCGCACTAGCTGTAATTGGTGTTAAGCTGTTGTGGTGTCCCAGCTTCTTTAATGCAATTGTTGTATGATGTTTGGAAGCGAAGCACAATATATAAATAAATGAATAACTTGTAATATTACTTACGTTCCTGTTCTTCTGCACAAAACCTGCAAGCGAGCGGACAGTCATCGCGCATATTGTAAAAATAGTAACTACAATAACCATGTTGCCTGTTATATTCACATTGTCCTGCTTGCAAGCTATTCACGCAATTCTCTGGTTTTATATGTACTAGATAAGAGACGAGAGGTAGAAATATAATATGAAATTAGAAAAGAGAGTGAAATTACCATTAAAGATTCCTAACATAATTATACATTGGGACCAGAAAACTAAAGGTCGAGGGTTCGATTTCCACTGCGGTCAAGCAAACTTGTCAGCTTGCCCGACTGCTGAAACGGTCGGCAAAGCCGCCATTTCGTCAAATCGCCAGCTTAGTAGTAGTAGTAGAACTTTATGTATACACGCTGATCCCGTCAACCGTAGCTGATTTCCACGGGGGGGCGTGTGCCAGAAAATAATTTTACATGTAGAATATGATAATGATATAGTTATGCTATTTACAGTAACATATAAGTTTAAAAGATATAACAAATGTTTTTTCAATTTTCAACCCTGGGAGACTGGAATTCTGTGGGGCAATCCGGAAATAGTTAAAGTTTGGAAAGTGACTTCCATAGCTCAATTATTCGAATTGTTTGGTGGTCTGGTCTAAAAGAGACTCTCTAAATGTTGACGTTTTCAGCGAATAATACTGTGTATATAGCGACTACCTTCACATGCAAAATCAAATTTTGATCTGTTATATTTTATCTTCAGTGGCGTAGCTAGCCCGACGATTTGGTCCCGCTATGCAAAATTCCAACTCATCATCATTATTCATTTCTTTAGAAATTGATTGTGTTGATATAGTTTATATAAATATGGCAATATTTGCATAGCGGGACAGAATCGTCTGGCTGGCTAACGCCACTTATCTTACTCTCTGAAAGATCGACGGGAAAGCGATGCCATTTCGTTTCGTAAACCACTGGTGCTATATAATAAACATAATGAAAAAATATTTAAACTGGATAGTTTTATCAGCTCTCTTTAGCATATTGTTATCAAAAAAGAGATAATCTCCTGTTGATTCAGTGGTATAATCCAGAAGAAATCTGCAGTACCAGAAAACGTTTTCACACATGCGACTAACTCAAACAACCACAATTTTCAGTATTACAATTCTTGGTTTGCACTTGACATCATAGCGGCCATTTTGGAGGAACGCTAACAAAAGAATATCATTAGCAGCTATTGTATTAATGTATTTGGACCGTCTTTTCCTCCAACTTGGTCGCCGTGTCGTATAAATCTCAAGGATTAATTGCAAGGCCAAATTTTAAATTTTTTTAACTTACGACGTGGCGTTACATAAACGTTAGCATGATGACCTCTGTGTTTGCGATTGTCTGAAAAATAAAATGGTATACTATATAGTCCAGGACAAATAAATTCAAGAAAATAAAGGGTTTTAATATTTGTACATCATAAATGTGCATTACTGCATGCATTATTTATGCATGCAGTAATGCACATTTATGATGTACAAATATTAAAACCCTTTATTTTCTTGAATTTATTTGTCCTGGTTAAATCAAATGGCGATGCCCTGATGAGGTCGATTAACGTCGCATCTATAGTATTTTGAATTTAAATCTTTTTATTTAGTCAAATGTTTTAGTTATTGTATATTTTTTAAAGTTTCGAAAGCTGAATACTATACTATAGAGAATATTAAAATAGTTTGTTTGAAGTTTCCAGATGAAATTAAGTAAAGCTTTGAATTCTTCTTTCTATGTACTGACTTGAAGAAAAATTGTGTTTCTGTCTGTCAATTTTGGTGAACCCATTGTTTAGGTTAATGCTAATTTCCACTCAGGAAAATTATCCGTGGATTGGAACGGACAAGACAATGTTCTTTGTGTTAAAGTCATTAGTTCCAACCCAGAGCTCACAAGACAAAGAAAAATTTTCTTGTCCGTTCCAATCCACGGATAATTTTCCTGAGTGGAAATTAGCCTTTAGGCATTTGTTATCAGGATGTCCACGGGCCTTGAAAATCCTGGGAATTCCTTGAATTGGAAAAAAATAAATCCAGGCCTGGAAAATCGATCGCAGGTCTTTTAAAGTCCCGGAATTCCTTTCCAGCTGTGTTGATAATACTTATTGAACGTTATATTGATTTTGAATAAATAAAAAAAAATTCTGGAGGACCCCTGTAGTTTGCACTAGACTATATGCTTACGTTTCGTTCGATGTGCGTGGTGGCTCTGGTGAGCATCGTGATGTTTCCCTACGTGTTTGTGATGGACTGAAAAAGTATAAATTTTGTGTTAGCATATCTGTTTTGCGAGTATATATATATATATAACAATGGGTCACTATATAAAAAGGGCCTTACGATAGCTCAAAAGGAGTGGTTTCACTAGGATTCCATTCACGCAACATACTTCCATTTTGGCTCTGGTTTCCCTGAGAAGCCGGTTCTTTCCTGTAGTTAGACCAAGTCGTGTCCCTTACAGGACCTTTTAAGAACTGGTCATGAGTTATACCGTCAAGTGTAAATTAACATTGTTATAGTTACATAATAATTATACATTTAACTCACTTTTACTTCCATCGCTATGATGCTTGTGATGGCCATGATGATTCTTTTCCCGAGCTGTCATTAAAACTGTTATTACATGGAACTGTGAATCTAAATTTAAACCTAAACTAAAGTGCTGGGTGGCTCTATTGATTCTAAACAGTCTTCCTAGAGGTCTATTAAGGGATATTTCTTACCCATCCAGTGTTGTCACCACGGGAGAGACCTTACACTAGACCAACTTTATTTTATACTGGATAGCTCTATCAGTTCTAAACTGTTCTCCCTGGCCTGGGGCTCCGTATGACAAATGAATATAAAGAACCCTTTGTAAAAAATGTTATATGCAAATTGGGCACTTTTCTCGATCGCCATTTTGTTACTATAACTCGACTAACTTCTCTTATAATATATACTTTTCGTTATCTGCACAATACCTTTTATTTTATGTTTTCTGTGATGCTTTCGGGAAGCTATGAGATGCCAGCTTATACAAAATATCAAAATAACTGCACTGAAATTCATGTCTTGCCTGAGAAATTCTTACAGATTCCGACTAACAAAGCAATCAAAGTGATAACCTGTCGAAATCACAGCACGGTATAGTGTGATATGATGGGGTGTTCACAGGGTGTTCTTTGTTCCACTATCACTATCATAAACGCTTGAAAAACGTTTGTTAGGTTTTTTGCATTAGCTGGCGTACCGAACGGAGCGGGATGAATGTAAACACAAATTATCAAATACATTTCAGACCGGTGCTGCAGTGCTCTTGGCTTCGGAACACTGCACGTTCTAAAAAGCAAAAAAGAAATGGCGGGCAAGGGGAATAAATCGAAAGATTTGTGATTTTCGTACCGGACCACCGGTCTCATGCCAACATACCGAAAATTTCGATTTCCATCCGGGTTTCACTTCGTCCCGATCTCATGTAAACAGGGCCCAGTGAAATGAATATAACTGACCTGAACGTCAGTCCCAATCTTTTCATGCACGCGAAGAGCGCGGTCAATCCGTCAGGCGTCAACATGACTGATGTATTCTTGAAAACCAGCTTAAAATTTACACAAAAAAGCTTTTTGCCAGCGCTCAAAGCTTTCTGTTATTGCATTTATTCAGGTAAAACCTCCTAGTAGACTTTACTTTTAGATTTTCGTTTTTTTTCTAGTAATTGTTTATTGAAAGGGCAGTCTTAGTAGTCAATCATCGCCCCGGAAAATTAAACAATTCCAAATGGCCACTATCGAAATTTTCCCGGGCGATGACTATTAAGACCAGCATTCCTCGCGGGTATCAAGCCTTGTGACGTCATTATACATAAGGTCTATATTGGTCTTGCGAGAGAATCGCGTGGCATAATCACGCTGGTGATCTGGGGGTCAGATTTGGCTCCAAGAAAAAAGATAAGCAGTTGCCAGTTTATCTGAAGGTATATAGCGTTCCAGTTTTATTCATTTCACTGATGGGGCCTAAACTTTCCGTCTTTTCCTGTGGAAGTGAACTTGAGTGACGGACGTTAGTTTTGAGTATATTAGACACTTTAAGATTGACGTTTACGGCAAACGTCAAACCGCTAGCAAAGTTTTTGATTTTACAACTCTATTATAATAGCTTTTACACCATTTTTGAAATATATTAAACCATTATTAAACTTGTGCTCTTTAGCAATGATTTAAGAAAGCAAATTAACCCGCTAGTCATGTATTCACCAAAGCAGTAAATTAAGATTTAGCGTTTGAAGTTGACGTTTGGCGTATAAATTTCATGCTTTAACGACTACAAGCCCTCGTCGCAGTCCAAGTATGAAATTGATACGCCAAACGTCAACTTCAAACGCTAAATCTTAATTTATTGCTTTAGTGAATACATGACTAGTGGTTAATTTGCTTTCTTAAATCATTGCTAAAGAGCACAAGTTTAATAATGGTTTAACATATTTCAAAACTGGTGTAAAAGCTATTATAATAGAGTTGTAAAATCAAAAACTTCGCTAGCGGTTTGACGTTTGTGCGTTTGTCTGTTCATGAAAACGATTTCGAAAACGATTTCGAAAACATTTCTATCTTTCAAACGTATATGCCCTTTGTTGGGAGGTTAATAATGGATACCTCGCAGAATATATCGTGCAGAATGCAATGAACAAGCCATTTTTCGATTGGTAATTTTGGACTTCTAACTTCGTTTCACGTTTGTGGTATCTAAATATGTTAGTGCATCCTCGTCCCCAGGGCCTCTCGACCGCGCGCGGCCTCCGCCCTAGGCCCTGGGACACACTTGTAAACTTGCAGTGGTTTCTAAAGCGCATGCTCTTGAATTGGGAGGCTTTAGCACCCGTAACAAGTTTCACAGTATTCATGAAGAAACGAAGAATTTGTGTTGACATATGTTGATTGAATAATTTTGCCTAGCGAAAACTGCTCAACTTCTGCGAAATAGCAGTTCTCTGAGATACTAGATCTCTCCCTTTAGTCGTCTAACCCAGAGCCTAATTTTCAACGAGGGACCGAGTTAAATGGCTCTGGGGACGAGAATGAGTGTAGCTGCTGATCAGGTATACTGAAGGCGAATTTCACAATTGTCCTAATTCATAGCGTCGAACGTAGTGTTCGAAGAACGATAATTGAAATTCCAATTTTTCCCATTTACAGTCAGATATTTGATTAAAAAATTGAGGCAATCTATTTTGCAATTAGTTTTGCGACTAAATCTATCAAATATTTATGGCTAGTATATGTTTATTTTTACTTGCGCCGATATTAGCCTTTAATATATTCACAACAATAACGTGATATTGGTCAGGGAAAACGCCGAAATGCAGTTTGTCCGTCTTTCGTAGTCGGCAAAACATGAATTTGGATAGCAAGAAAAAAATTAAAATATTTGAGTGCCAGTGATTAAAAATTAATAATGATAGCTAAAATGTGGAGAAATTTACGGAAATATTAGGAAAAAATGGAACGAACAATGGTAGTTTAAAGATAAACCCGAAATAAGATGACAAATATTATGCCCGGGAAAATAAGGTTTCACCCATTCAAAGAGATCTAGCGCCGACCCTGAGCCAGGCTCAGTAGAGTCCAGTTGTCGACAAAACTTCAACAATTAATTCTATCGAGGCCGAGGGGCTCTCTCCTCCGCAGAGGCCTTAGTTTTCTTAGGACATTTCACTACACTTTACATGGCATCACCTAATAGCATATGTACACATATACTTGCGGTTAGAGCTCGACAACTGGACAATGTAAAAGCCTGGTTTATAATAGTTTATACCTGTAAACCACATATAAATCATGAATACTCTGAGTATTCTCTAGTCATAATCACTTCGCGTCTTTTCAATTCTAAAAGACTAAAATGTTGTATTTCGGCTGATGAGAAAGATCGTGACTCAGTCTTTACGACCGTTAGACCATATATGGAAACCACAAGCCCAATTGGTTAGAGCGCTGCACCGGAATCGCAGGGCCGCGAGTTCGATTCTTGCCAGACGGCCTATGCATTTTCCCCAGCTGCTCCTCGTTAGGTCTAAAATTGTATAAAAATTTACACATAAACTTTTTCCATCTATAAAACCTTTCAGACCAATATATATGATATATTAATTAATGAGCTGTTTCGGTAAGAAAAAAACACCGCAAGGCCGATGGCGATGATGATCAGAGCAAATACCGAACTCCCAAGAACTCAGTTTTAGGTATATAAATTAATCTAAATAACAATAAAGCCTGCTTCTTGTAAGCCGCCTCGGACATTCCTTTCGCAGTGGCATTGTCTTGAATCGTTGACATTGGAGTAAAATCCTTTGTCCGTCTGAAATAATCGCGGCGACATATGGCCGAGTACAGTGCGAGCAGACGTAATGGCTGAGAATATATAAGAGTTTATAAGAAGTGTTGATAGTTTTTAAGTTGCTGTCGTTGCTAATAGTACATTTAGTCATGCAGAACAATTTATCCAGCACAAATATTAAAAGGACATATACATTTTGCATAATTATTCTATAAAACAGAAAACCCATGACTATACAAAAGGCCATCTATAAAATAGTACGTCAAAATAGAACTGATAATGTATTCATATTCATATTTTTTAAGTTGTTATCTTGAACAATTTTGAAGTAAATGTTATGATAAAATGCAAATTGGGCCACGGTTCATTTGCTATGCAGATTATCGCTGCAAAAATACCAGGCGTGGTGTGTAGCAATTTAAAGTCAGTGAACCGTATAACAGGTCTTGAACGGGGAAAAAATTGTCTTCGGTCCTTCATTCTGCCGAAATTCGCTTCAAAATGGTCTAAACTTTACTCAAGACTCGTAATTTGATTTCGCTATGGATTCTAAGTGTCAGCTTGATGAAAATTACCGTGCAACGTCGCCTAGTTTCGAAGCAAACCGGCCTGAATTGGATGGCAAAGTCAAAGATTCTATGAGTAAAACACTAAAGCAGAATAACAATACAGGTTTGTATAAACTTGAGATATGTATTTGTTTCAGGTAGTTAGGTTTGAGATACGTGTGCAAGGTGTTGTGTATAATTGTTGTATAAGCTAGTTTATGGATCATCTGTCAGGCTTGTTTGAATATATGTCAAACTGCGTGAGATTGTAGTGAATATATGTCGCTTTGCCTTTGTAGTGAGTTTGGGTCACACTACAATGCTCATGTATTTCAAGTTTATAACCTATACTGAACATTGAGTGTTTTTGTATTCGTGCTTGTGAGCAATACTGTGTAAATTTTGACAGTCACTTACGCCACACGTAAGTGACATATTGAAATGCAAACTCGGTAGTATTTATGCAGTATTCGTGTTATTGTAAATATATAGATTGTAGATTATATTTTCAGTTCAGTTAAACGCGTAGCTTTCGAGCCCCGTGCTCGCAGATAAAGCATCTATCACATAATACTCGACGTCATAAGGTGAAACACATGTAACTTAAAATGTGCGTATAACGGTACAATATAGTAGGCAACTAGCTTGTATGTGCATGGCGACTTTATTCCTCAGTCTTTTAACTGCAATTAAAAGCACTGCTTTTAAGGTTTATAGTTTGCACGCTATTGAAGTTTCTTTGGTCAAGACAAACTGAAAGGCTACGTTTACACTATAGACCAGATAGCTTTCCGTAGCAGCGAGAAATAGTACCTATATAATATATCCGATACAGAATGTACAACTTTCAGAAGCTGAGCGAAACAACATCTTTTCGTCGCAATCAATGCCAATGAATTTCCTCTGAATATGACGTTCCTAAAAGAAAAATGTACGGATAGGTGTTTTCTCACGTCGCTACAGAAAGCTATCCGGTACAGCTAGTGTAAACGTAGCTACTGAAGTGATCAATATAGTTCATGAAGTGAATCGGTAATTAAACTTTTTTTAGATACATAAATTTACTCCGCTTTGCGAATGATGCATGCACGGAATGATGCATGCGACCAACGAAACTTTTATTGGTATAAATGTCGCAATATTCAAGGAATTTGCCTCGAAATTTGGTACATTTTAAACCATTGAGAAAGCATTAACGTTGAGGTAGCAATTTGGTGAGACGAAAAGGGAATTTTACGTGACGAATTTTATACAACTTGCAGCGCAATTTCTTACACAATATTTTTCGTTCTCATTAATAATTGAGGAGATCCATCAGCAATTTCATTCTTGATTTTTCTTCAGATTTTACCACTTTAAAGCTGGTTCACACGAGTGAGATACAAGCATAACTCATAAGTAAAGGCAAAAATTCAAAACTGAAAGAAACGCACTTAAGCCTGCGACATATAAGCTTCGACATGCTCCGCCGTGCAGATGAGCATGTTTCCTTGACAAATTTACTTTCTCGTGTGTACGGTCAACAAGTTGTTGTCAGTTGTCAGTTTGTTTGCCAAAAGCATAGATTGAAGTATTTCTTGTACACTTGTCAAGTCTTCTCAAAGTATTCAGTACTCACGAACACATTTTCCTGATCCAAAAACTGGATGACTAGCTTTAGAACAAGGCTCGATCCTTGCCGGCCAAGCCGAGAAATTGTCAATGCATGTTCTGCCGTACGCACGAGCAAATGAAACTTGCCAAGGAAAACTCACTCGTCTATGGGAAACAAAAGACAGTTCGAAAGAAAATTCTGTTCGCTTTGTCTTCTGTCTTTGCATGTCCCAAAGGTAAAATTTTGTTGCAAAACTTGACGTGGACGATTTCAGAGTACTGATGTTTAATATTTAAACTTCAAACTTGCTTTTTAGGACAGCTGTCATGCTGCATGCGCTGTTAAAATTTTAATTATTACGCTTTAAACCCCATTGAAACGAATAAAAGTCTGAAGAACATGACAAACAATATACATAAAAACATTGATAAATTTTTTGTGGAAAAGTTTTAGGCCTACATTTACTCTATCATTGTGGATGCTAAACTATACATTCATCTTTACAGTGTCATTTTCAACAATTACATCTTTCATCAGTTCACTTATCTCTCACACAAAACATCTGCGTCACGTAAGGCCTGCGTGATCGCAACATTTTTTGAATACTTTTTGCGTGGATTCTTGCAAGTTGGATGATTCTGTTGAATTATTTTTCGTCTTTCCAGTGAATAGAAATTTTACAAGTTTGAAATTTTACAAGGTCTACAAGTTGCTCGCGAAATGTGAACATTTAACTGCAAACGGAATTATTAATTTATATTCGTGAAATTTTTCTTTTTAGTTAAAGAACTTACTTGTACCCAGGCGTCTTTGTGTAAGAAACAGCGATGCGCGTATGACGAGTTTACATGACGTATTGTAGTGGCGAGGGAAGGGCGAAGGGGCTGATGGGAATAGTGCACTTGAAGTGCTTCCCCCAGCCCCAGGACGCGCCATTTCCAACAGCCCCTTCGTGCGTTGCCTGCTTGCCTTCCTTTATGTATCCCTAAATAGTATATATCCCTATTATGTTTAAAGCGCATGGGTACGAGGCAGCTTTTACAATACGATTGTCATCGGCAAGAATCTTCATTAATTTTCCAATAGACATGTGTTGCACATAAATTTATGCTGCCTATCATCAGTCAATATACACATGGTTACTTCAGATTATGAGAATTTAATAACTTTCCGAACTTATAATTTTCAAAATTCTCAGGCGCGGGAGCATGCCTCCAGAACACTAACCTCCTCCATACTCTCAACACTAACCCTTCCCCACAGTGGCGTAACGGAGAAAAGAGGGGGGCCTTAGGCATATTTGGTGTGGGGGCCCCTGTTGACTGTTGTCATTGTTTGACTGAGATATTATATTTATATTGAATATTTATAGAATGTTCTGGAACATTCCGTGTCTATAACAATAACAGTCTCCAACATATGTATAACAACTTTTAACAATAACTTTTGTTTTTATTTGAGATGGAATAAAAAATCAACTACCGTGGTCGATGGAAACTTTATTATTTAGTATTATTAATTTTGCATTTTCCCATTGATTCTTAACCTGCATTTTTTACATTTTCTGGCCGATGGGCCGTCGCTGATGGGGGTCTCTGACTTTCGAGGGCCCCTAACTGTTGGGGGCCCTTAGTTTTTGAACTAACCCTAACCAACGAGCGTTACGCCACTGCGGGCCCTCACTAACAATAGTAACATTTGATAGAGCTAAAAATTCTTTTATCATTTTGCTAGTCAAATTTGCATTTGTTTTGTCAATTTCATGTGTTATCTTTCGTTTTATGTTGCAGTATATTTGAAAAATAAAAACACGATTGAAATTGAAAAAAAAAGCTGAGTACGACGTCGATAGCGGATGACCTACTTATTAAATCGTGGATGAAGTATAGTTTACATTTAAAAGTATTTTTGCAACTATAACCTTTGACGCATATATAATCTGTGTTTTGAAAATGATCTCAGTCGCGTTTTTCTATATTTATTATCAGATAACAATAAGGAAAAACAGGCGATGACAACAAATAAAAAGAATGCCATGCCAAATTTGGACGTGCCAAAATGGTAGGAGTAATTAGGTGTCATCTATTTCTATATTTAAAAAGCCGTTCGGCTTCATTTTATACATCAGAGAAAATTATCTTCATACGATACAAAACTTGGGTCTCGTTCGGTCAATTTACACAAAGCTTTTTTTAAACCCTGTCAAAATCCCTTTTCTCTAAATTATAAGCAAAATATTTTTTTGCCCCCCCCCCCCACCCCCCTAGTCAAAGTCCTTTTTCTCTAAAATATAAGCAAAATATTGTTTTGCCCTCCCCAGTCAAAATCCCTTTTCTCTAAAGTATAATCAAAATATTTTTTCGCCTCCCCCCCAGTCAAAGTCCCTTTTCTCTAAAACATATAAGCAAACGGCATTGAAGGAAAAATAAATTTACAAGGAAGTTTGATGTTCTATAGTAACTGAAATTTGCTTTGTGAATCTTATGTCCTGTCCTTTATCTTCAAATGATTCAGCTGTATAGCCAAAAATCTGAAAACACGCGAAATGCAGTCCTAGGATGGAAAAATACAAATATGTTCGATACCCCACCAAACTTCTTGTAACAATCTAACAAATTCTTAAAAAAGAGTGGTAAAACGTGATCCAATAGGCAATTCCAGCTTTTAGTTTATGCGTGCAGCGGGTGATGGGAAGGTATCATATTGCTGATTATACTGAAAAATAAAAATGGCGGCCGTGCAAACACGGAGTGATAGCTTATACTTGTAAATATTGAAATATTTCGGTTGTTTCGGCAGTTTTTATTGAAATTTTTCAGCATAATCAGCAATATGATACCTTACTTCCCATCACCTCCTGCGCGCATAAATTAAAAACTGTAATTGCCTATTCAGTGTAGTTTATTTTAGATATCAAACTTTGCCAAAACAAGGTCAGTTCTGTCAGATGTCCTAGACAGGACGTATATACTCGGCATTTATGCACAATGGTGTAGATACTTCAGGTTTTGTGTCCCTCAAATTAAATTTCATGAATTTCTGTCCAGGTACACTCCATTAGAAAACGACGCAGATGACGAAGATCTTCTTTGTGTTGTTCGGCAGTTCTGTCTTGAAAAACCTGTTACCATGGCAGCGATGACGTATTGTCATGTCAAACTATGCTAATTTTCCTAACTTACGAACTTCAAAGAAGTTTATATACATGTACAGTTTTATATGCTTTTTAGAGATCAGTGAATAGTGTTTAATTGTTCAGTGTAATCCTAAGTGATTGGGTTTTTGGCAATGAGCTGTGAGCTCTCTAACTTGAACCTTAACTCAGGTTTAAAGCCCATCTAGTACTACTTTTAGGCGAGTTAAGTGTGCCGTGTTCTTAAACGACCTAAAAAGCAAAGCTAGTGTGTAATCTTAGAAGGGTAATGTAATCCTAAATCGAGTATGTGCATTATGTATAATGTATCTTTGTGGTCATATATCGTTAGTGATTTTGTAAGCTTTTCAAAAATGAGTTTTAATTGATTGACTCCCTCTGTGTGTTTTTGTACTGACTTTCTTGAGATTTCTTTTTACTGCTACTACCGATAGTATTATAGACTTGCCACAAGTCCGCCTCAGAACTTTCCCCGTATTTTTTTACAAGCCGGAAAGCCAAGCGGAACCGCGCGTGACGTCATTTGAAAAGGACTTTGCGAAAGTCTAATAGTATTACAGAATTAAACGAATTCTAACTATTTTAATTTTTTTTAATTTTTTTTTTATTTAATTTATTTCCCCTACTATTATTACATGTAATTTCCTTATAATTGTATTATTATTAATTATGGGCTAGAGACCTACTTGAAACTCTGTTGGGCTTTTTCTTTAGGCCCCTAGTTTTTAATTGCACATTTATTTGAATATAATGAATGAATAACATCCCTTTTTATTTTTGATACGTGTATATAGCTATAAATAAAACAATCCCTACGTTACATTGCACATTCAACATTGAATTTAATGCATTCCGCTGAACCGTACAATAGGACAGTACATAATAGCAATACTACAAAAATTCACGGCTGAGCCACAGAATAGACTGAGACAAAAGCCTGCTTTAATTTATGCTTAGGAATTTTACATAGGTAAATTTTGAAGGAATTATAAGTAGTGTTTGAGTCAGTTCCCTCAAACATTTCTTACAAATCCTTCAAAAGTTTTTACCAACGCAAAATTCCTACTGTGATCATAGAAACTTTGATAGTGTAAACCAGGCTACACAGACGGTCGACTTCTTGCATTCGCTTATGATTTTGGCGCAACTGTTGCAATGCTGTCGTACGTGCACTGGCTGTGCATTTTGCTGACGAATCATTGCGAATCATGACGCATTAGGGTGTGGAGCAATGTTTCATTGATACGGTCAGTGGATGGAACTTCAATATGATGCATAATTATATAAATTGCACACAAAAAATGTCGCGATTTAACACTCAGCAGTCACTGAATTGTGGTATTCTAATTTTTTCTCCAAAAGTACATTGGTCTTAATCTTGTATAAGTAACTCACACTTCAGTTATGTTGATGAAGTCTTTCTATTCATCGTCGTTATTGTCACAAACATGTAGCAAACGGGTAGAATCACGTGAAAACCACCTCTGGGCACAAGGTCTGAACAAACATTTAAAAATCGACCTGAAGCACATGAAGAGAACACGAACAAAAACAGAAATTATAGCAAAGCATACAAGAAGCAAAAGAATAGCTGGAAATAGTCCTAACATAACCATCTCTAGCCATTGAAACACTTTGACAACTGCTACTAAAGAACGCTTGATATTTTGTTCGGAACCAACAAACACAGACTTGAACAGGTTGACCAAGCCTAAAATGACCAAAAAGAACAAAGAAAGAGACTCGAGATTATTTGCTAACGAATTTTGAAACGGTTTAACCTTGAGATGACAGCAGAGCACAGAAACACAAGTAAGAGTCATACAGAATAATCTGATAGATGGTTCAGCTACAACACAGAAGATTAAAACCAAAATAAATCGACGAGCAATCAAGACACTCTGCCAATATAAAGCCCCTCGCTCGCTTGCACCTTTCGCTTGTCTGTAAGGAGCCAATAGCATCTCCTTTAATGCGTTTAAATTTTGGTTTTCTTCTACATTCACTACTGGAGTTGGACAAACAAGGCGGAACATCCATAACAGTAAAAATGGAATCGGGCAGATAATGGCAAGAAGGAACTGTTGGATTGTTATTTTATCATGGTGAAGTTTGAACGAAATCCAAGCAAGCACAAATATAAAAGGAATCATAAAGATAGCATTAAAAGTGAATGACGCATATTGCCACCATTGGTAGCATAAGACATTTCCATTGTAGAACCGTCGAGCTTCGCCTGCAACAAAAACACAGCGAATGAGTGAAATACTGACAGTAGCAAGAGTTACGTAGCCACGAAATATAGTTTTAATACTAGCTTGGAGATATGGAGAAACAGCAGGACGAAGGGAGCCTCTCATACGACTGATGAAGAAATGCAAGGCATAGATAAGGAAAATAGCAACTAAAGTTCCGAAGACAGGAGCAATTTTAAAACCGAACTTTGTCTCTGGAGTGAGACCTGGAAAAGGACACAGAAAACCTTGTTTCTTAAAATTTGGTTGGAAATTGAAGAAGCCCAGAACAGGTACAAGGAATTGGGTGTCAAAAAATTCTGTCAGACAACTCGAGGAAAGAAGTAATTGTGCTATTTGATAGAAGTAGAAGATAATCTCCACAAAGCGGGAAAATTGTCTTTTGTCTTGTTTGAGTTGCTCTGTTGAAGACAACGGTATGTTTTCCTGTTCGGTCTCTTCGTCGACTGAGAAGGAGCGAATTATGTCATGATTGGCTTGAATGTTTGCTGTACGACTGCCTGCAAACCTTTTAAACCAAAACATCTGTTTTAAAGAATACGTTACGAACGGAGGCTTGAAAACAAGGAGAATAGCCATAGAAAAGACAAGCGCTAGAAACAGAACCCAAAACCAATGATCGTGGCAGTCTTTGACTGGTGTACAGTACGTTGACCACAGCGCTTCTGTATAGCCTTGAGAACAAACCCCACACATAACTCCTGTACGTTTTCCTTGGCAGTCATTGTATTTACCACTGTTAGCTGGCGGTGACTTGCAGTAACCGAACGGACAAATTGTGAAGGCTAGTTTAGGAGGATTCGAACTAGTTTGGTATCCCCAAAAGTTGGACTTTGCCCTGATGGCTGGAACACAGTATGCTCCGCGCAGGCATCGCATGCATTCGAAATTATCATCTACATGCAGTCCTCTTGCTGTTCCTCTTTGCAGAGAGTAGAAATTGTAGTCACATGCCTTGCAGGACAATGTAAGAGAGGTACCATGACGATTATTATTAACGAAATAAGAATAACTAACCTTTTCAATAGCATGACCCACTGGGCAATTACTCATCGAAGCATTGTCAAATGATACCCGATCTGCTTTGGGGACCAGAATGAGTGGTTCTTCCGAGTTTGTGTCCCAGTTGAATGTTGTGTTGTAAACAAATAGCGTACCAGAGTTGTATAACCTTAGGAATGAAGTGATCATGAATTCCTGTTTATTAGTAATTATGATTTTTTGAATTGTTTGTTTAAACACCGAATGGACTACAGCCAGATCGACTGAGCCACGCCCAGCGCTAACAATTTGACCGCCTTGAAAACTTGCAAAATTATTCAAAAAGGTACAATTCGTTAATGTCACTTCGCCGCTTGTCACAAACAAAACACTTCCAGTTGCCGCTATATTTTCTTGGAATAATACCCTCGTAATAAAAGCTCTGAGAATCCCAGAGTGACTATTTGTTTGGTTGAAGTGTTGGAAATCTATTACCAGAGCTGCTGAATAACCGCCTATATACTTGTCTCGGACAAACGCAGAATCGTATATTCTTAGACTTGTAGTTCCCCTGAAAGATACCGCAAGTGCTGCACACAAATTGTTCACAAACGTCGTGTTCTTGAAGAAAATCGTTGAATTGATTAATTTGAGGGTCATTACCCCTGCCTGGCACGGTAAAAAACTATTTGAATCCAAGATTGAATGTTTACACGTTAGTGCAACATGTCCTTGTATATATACCGTTCCACCATACCCAATATTTTCTCTAAATATGCAGGTATCTAGAGTTACAAACGATAACGTGAATTGACTAAAAGCTAGGAAAACGATGCCACCGAACTTCGCTACGTTCCCCATGAAACGCGTATTTTTAAAACCAACATTACTTTTAGTACTTCGAACCCAAAGTAAAACAATACTGCCACTCAGATCTTGCGAACATGCGTGTATCTTGTTGTGGACGAATATAACGTTGGTCATAGAAAGATTGAATGTAGCAGACTCTTTGGGGGCAATAGCTTGAATAATTGTTCCATCATCAGCACTATTTTCTAGGAAATAGACATTGTGAAGATCGATTGTACAGGCATCATTCGTGGTGATACACAGCGCGCCGCAATATGTAGCAGCTTTTCGTAGAAACGAACTATCACCGACAGTCGCCAACAAGTTTTCAGCAAATACCCCAACTACACCACCCTCCGTATATGAAAACGAAGAATTGATTATGCGTAGATGAACAAAGAATTTTTTGCTATGCTTCGTCGATTGTAAATATGCGCTCCGCAGTGATTGTATCAACACTGTGGCACCAGCAAAATTGGAAATATTTTGAATGGTCGAGTTTTGAATGGTTAGCATCGAATTTGGCACAACAATTGAAAGGACACCGTCGCCGGTACCATAGTTGTTTCCATTACGAAAAGAAGAATCCTTGATTGATAAGTAACATGAATCACTTTGAATTACGTCAACTACGCCACCTCCAGGAGTCACTGAGTAGAATCCATCCACCTGAATGTTTGAGATGTTGATTTGCGATGAGTTCCCGGTCACAGTTAGAAAAGTAGAAGATGTTTTATAAACAAGCCCGTACTCCAACCTCATAAATGCCCAAGCAGATAGGAGACGAAATAAACCGTCATATTCTTCAATGCTGGGATTCGTATGGCTATTTTCTTCCAGTCGGAATTGATTTAGTAAAAAGTTTGTTGTTCCTAATTTGTTTACAACTACAATCAATCCATATTTCTTAAAAGTGTTCTTCTTAAAACTGCAGTTCCTTAGTTGAATGTTGATCAAATTTTCTTTGGAATTTAACCAAAGAATCGATGGTGTATTCGAAGAGAAATTACCATAGAAAAGATAGAAAAGATAGAAAAGCGTATTCGTTATGTTTACAAAAATCTTGCTGCTCTTTATACTAGGCTTTATTGTCATGCACGCTGTATTTTGTTGGAAAACAACATTTTTCAGCGATAAATCCAGCCGAGGCAGATTAAATACTTCAATATCCAAGCTTACAAGTTTGGTTTCCGCAAATACAGTATCATTGACTGCCACAAAAGCATCGAAAAAGCGTAGAGACGTATTCAGGAAAGTCAGACCGGAAAAGCTAATTCGTATACCGTTTTTGAATTTAGTTCCGTCCACCAACCACGTGTTGCCATGGAGACACGAGATATAAGCGCGTGATCTTATACTGACGAATGATACGCTCTTACTAAGATGGATTCCCGGATGTCCTTGGTCTAGGCACATCTAGGGCTTCACAGGTATAAGGATTTTTGGATGTAGCTGACCCATCCAGGTGGATATATGACCCCGCTGACACTTGTTTTATGCCATAAGATATTGTACGACACGGAGAGTTTAGTGTTCCACATGTTTTTCTATCATTACCATTGAGGCGGGATACGTAAATTCCGTGTTCTGGCGGTACAAAAGAAGCTAGGAAAAATAAAGGTGACTTAAATTGAGTGCAGTGGAATCTACTAGCAGACGCGCAGACTGATCATGAATTTCAAAAATGAACCTGGGCAGACTATTTTGGCTTGTAATTCTCTTGGTTGGATATCGCTAGAAGAACGTACAGGACGCAAATGAAAGCCACGGTCATACAAAACGGTAAATAAATAAGCCCCTCAAAGAGTGCGTGACACTTTTCAATTTGAACACAATAAATTATTACAATTTAAGGGTTTTTTCGACTAAGCTTTTTATTCCCAGGCCTAAGAAAGGTTTCAGTTATAGTGGGCTCAAGTATGGAATTAGATACTGGAAGAGATATAAGAAGTTCGGTATGTTATTATTTAACAATTATTCTCCGAAGGCGAGGTGATTATCGGTGAATAAAAACCGAGACGAAGTCGAGGTTTTTATTCACGATAATCACCGAGCCTGAGGCGAATAATTGTTTTAGTATAATTTCATAGGTGATTATTTGGGAAAAAAATTAAAAATGCACATTTCTTTGTCATTTAATTGACAAAACGGCTTCGACCGCCATTTTGAAAATCGCTTAGGTGATTATCGCGTAATAATCACCTCAACGGCAACCAATCAGCGTGGAGAATTTTCAATAATCACCTATGTAATTATACTAATTGTTATTATTTGTCTATGTTACGTATATATAATATATACTGTTTAGTTAATATATCAGTTATTATATGTTGGAAATAATTTTATTAGTATGGTAATATTTAAATTTATTATATAAAGTATAATATGCTTTATGTACTATTTAAAAAACGAGCAGGAGTGTTTTATTAGGTTTAAAGCCACGAGCGCGCAACGCGAGTGGCTTTAGACCTAATAAAACACGACCTGCGAGTTTTTTAAATGACTTCAAAAACGTTTGCATAATAAGTCAAATCTTTATATAAAAATCTTTATATAAAAGTCTTTATATAAAAATCTTTATATAGTTTGCATAACAATGGTCTTTTGTTAAAGTATTCTTTAGCTGGTATAAAGACGTATGCACGTGACTAATTTCTTACTCAAGATTGGATAATTGCTTCATGAATTATTAATGAGTTTTTGAAAGAGATTTCGAGCACTGATAAAAGTGATAATCTCACATGTGAGATTATTTATGATAATCCTTTATATAATAAACAGAAAAATACATGGATGCTTGGAAATACCAGATTTATTTCTCGTGTTGAACATGATATCTCATTCGTTCGCTGCGCTCACTCGTGAGATATCATGTTCAATACTCGAAATAAATCTGGTATTTCCGCGCACCCATGTATTATTCTCTATATAATAAGTTAAGTTGATTGTAATCATCAACAATGGACTGCATCTTCATCACTGATCTCAAAACCAGAACTGGATAGAGCATCTACTATGTGTGAAGCCAATGGCGTCCATATTGGCATGGACACTGCAAATCTACAGTGGTGATGCTAAAATTTCTGGGGATTGGTAGGAATAAAAATATATTGCCTAGAGAAAAATGATTTGATTCGTAAGGAATGTGACAGATTTAAAAATCCCTTCTCATTATAAATATTCTGGCATCAAAATTAATTCTCTGAATTCAAAATGTTGCTCAGCTATCCGGGCATAGTTTTGACATCAGTGACCTCCATACAACAGACAGTAAGTTCAGGTCCTGATTGATTTAAAGTAAAATCCCTATTATTGAAACCTTCAAAGTCCAAACAACAGACAACGGATACCATTCAACACCATTCTGAATACAAAATGATTATTTTGACAGTGTCAAGTATTGATTTAAGAATATTTGACAATTTAATTCAGTGGGAGAGATGGTTACCAAGAGCTTTATAGATGCGAGCATGATACGCAACACTGATGACAATTTTCACCCTCATTCAAATTCATCGAATTTGAACGAATGTGAAACTACTCTCTGAAAAACACTGGGGTACCAAAGAAGTGAAAGAACCAACTAGAAATTATCAAGTTCAACATGAAAATTTGCCCTCAGACTCTCAGTGCCTCAATATTGATTTTCAAAGGGCCGTTAATGAAGCTATTATCTATACATACGAAATTGTAAACAGATGTATACTGATGTATCAACATATACGGTAGCATATAATTGTCGTTCACAAGAGGACACTGATAATTGTTGGTGTCTGGTGATTATATATCAGTTATTTCACTGGGTAATTCGTTCCATGATTTTGCAGCTCTATACAAAAAGCTTTTTTGATGAAATTTGTCTTGCATATTTGTAGAAACAATGGTTGCAATAATGACTTGCCCTTGCCGTTAAACCATGGTTAAACCATGGATAATAAAATAAACTTATTTTATTATCACCATGGATAGTTAGAAAATGGATGGGAAATAGCTGACGCCAGCAGACATGACCTAATTCGCCATAATAAAAAAGATGTCGGCATGTCGATCTACCTACAATCCTTTGCGTGCAGCAAGCATAAATCCGCAAAAAAGAGTGCCGGACAAGAAAAATAGACAATGACATGAAACTTTAACAGATAGGAATAACTGACGTCTTGTCTTTTGTGTGTTATTTAAAAAACGTTTAACTGTTGTTTTAAATCATTTCCTACTGCAATGCATTGTGGGTAGATCGACAGCCGCCATCTTTTTTATTAAGGCGAATTGAAATTCGTGATGTGACGAATACAATGAAATGAGTAAAGTTTTTACTGCATTTTTCTTCCATTTTCCTATATTTTTCGCATTCAAGTAGCTATATTGAGATTTAAAATTATTTCCTTGTCTTAAACCTGCCTGTGCCATGGCAAAGTATTCCAGCCTAAATGTTGTTCGCTTTGACTTTGTTTTAGATTTTTACTTTCTCAATCACGAAATTTGCGTCATAAAAACTAATGTTGATATAACTGAAAGTTGTGTTGATATAACTGATGCGTATTTCATCGTCTAATGCTTCATTTGTTCCTTAAAAATGTTCAACAATATTTAGACATCCCATCCTAGAGTGGCATGGTTGTATTCTAACGTTTTTTGACTAAAATACTCAACTATATTTAATATTGCTAAACGTGGAATTATTTTGGATTTAGTGATGTCATAATTTTCAACAAGGTTGAGACCACTGAGAAAACATCGTGCGTCATAATGAGTTTCCTATCCATGCAGTGTTTTTATGATCCATGGTTAAACTAATCCATTTTATGACTTTTGTTATTGCAGGCACAAATTATAAAAAACTCCCACCTGATGTACAGGTATATAAGATTATGCACAACTTTGCCCACCACATAAACGCCATTTATAAAATTATTTTTTGAGACATATTGATAGTTCAGTAATTGATAGTTTATTTGAGCAAACTAATTTCAAGGAAGTTAAGAACACAAGCAGAACGGGAGATCACATAAAATTAGATGCCATATGGTCCACTTCTTTTACATTTTCGTTTTCCACTAATTCCTTATTACTCTTAGAGACAATCGACGCCGCTTCGAGAATTTGCTTGAGTGCACACGAAACAATAGCTTGAAAGCGAGGCGGACATGCAATCTAATCATTCTAAGTAAGTAGCTTTCATTTCAGGAACTGTCTATTGCAATCAGCCTTCCCGATTAAATCATGTCTTTAAATTAATAATAACGGATCTATCCAGCTTTAATCTTCATTTTAACCTTTAATTTATTGTTAACGTTGACCTTAAAGGGGCAGAATGATCAAAAATTTTATTTTCTTAAACGAAAGTGCTCGTAAAACTGTATAATAACTTGTTTTGAAGATTGTTGTTCCCATGCTTAGTTCTTGAGATATTTCATTTTGTTTGTAACCATGTGACGTCATTTACTCAATTACATATATAATCAGGCCTGATATATAATGAGATATCAGTAATTGTTGTGTATCTTTGCTATTTTTATCAAAATATTTCGAAAGATGCGGCGCGTTTGTTATTTAACCTGTATCATTAAGCATACTGTGTTTTTTTAACAAATCGATCAAAAATAGCAAAGATACACAACAATTACTGATATCTCATTATATATGTAATTGAGTAAATGACGTCACATGGTTACAAACAAAAGAAATATCTCAAGAACTAAGCATGAGAACAAAATCTTCAAAACAAGTTATTATACAGTTTTACGAGCATTTTCGTTTAAGCTTTGGTTTAAGAGAATAAAAATTTTGATAATATACTGCCTAAAACCTCATAATTCGCAAAAAAATCAACAAATGTTCTGGGGTTAGCCTTTGCTTTTTTCGATTTTGCCCACTTTTGTCGTTCTTTTATTAAAACTGGTCAAAATCAATTGGTTCTGATAATTCTGTGATAGGATCAGATGAAAATAAAGGCTTACATCTTAAATTTTTATTGAAATCGATGTTTTTGAAAACTAAGGTGGCCAAAAACGACCAACGTAAACCCTCATCTTGACTTTACCCACCCCCAAAAATAGGGAAAAGTTCTGAGGCGGACTTGTGGCAAGTCTAGGCTATCCCTTATAAGGTTTTGTCAATATATTTGGCGACTTTTAAGTGTGACAGAGGCTCAAGACCAACCCAAGCCCTTAAATGTTTGTCGAATTTTGGCCACCTTTTCAAAAACCTCAAACGTGAATAAAACTTTTTCGTCGAAAATTTTGCCGGCTAAGTAGACAAAAAGTAAAGGCTAACCCCTTAAGTCTTATAATCTTTGTTGATTTTTTCGATTTTTATGGTTTCTGATAAGCTGCTGAGGTTATTGTTAAGATTAAATTGTTAAGACCCTTTAATATTGTAGAATGCTACGCCTATGAGGGAACCTCACTGATTTCAGGAAGGGTTTTAAAATCCCTAACAATCGTTGATAGTTGCATGCGCAGAGCGTAAGATGTGGTTTTGAAACTGATTTAAGCGAACGCGCTATCACACCCTCTCTTGAATTGTTCACCGCTCTACATTGGGAATTCTACGCAAAAATTTCATTGTATCAATAGCCATGGTCAAGCCTTGCATATTTGTAGAAACAATTTCGTTGGAATAATGACATTCGTTTAGTTAAACTAATCCATTTTATGACTTTTGTTTTTCCATACATGCTTCACTGACAAATTATAAACATTTTCTCACCTGATGTACATACGATTATGCACAGCTTTGCCCACCACATAAACGCCATCAAGTAAATAATTATTTTTTTAAATATTGATATATTCCAGTAATTGGGTTAGATAATATGTATACAAACTAATTTCAAGGAAGTTAAGAACGCAATGAGAACCGGAGATCGCGTAAAATTATATGCCATATGTATTGTCCGCTTCTTTTACATTTTCGTTTTCCAACTTTTCACTTTCTTATTAGCTTGAAACCGAGGGGTACAATGTAATCATATTAAATAAGTAGTTTACTTGTAATTCATTGTAGCGTCCCACAGGGGTCAAACCTAGGTCCTTTACTATTCAACTTATATATTAATGACCTTCCAAACTGTCTACAGACAACCAAGGCTTCCATGTTTGCGGATGACACCAACCTTTCTTGTAAGGGGCAATCATCTGCAGACATTGAGTATAAATTAAACTGCGACTTAGACAATATTCAGAAATGGCTAATAAGTTAACATTAAACGTACCTTACGAAAACTGAGTTTAAACTCCAAAGATACTATATGGCGAACATCAGATAAAAAGGGTAATGGAAAAAACTGTTCTTAGACTCATAATTGATGACCAATTAAAGTGGAACAGGCACAATGATGAACAGTGTACAAAAATCTCTAGCCCTTTTACAAAAAGCTAAAGATTTTGCTTCACAAGAAGAATTAGCGCCTAATTGCTGCCGAGCGCAGCGAAGCAGCACACTATTCTTGTCGACACGCGGTGGTTTCTCCAGAGTTCACTCGACGGGGAATAATTAAGCTTCAGGAACGTTTGTTAAATTATGAGGGGAGCGGTCAGAAACAAGATTTCGTATTGAGTACGTATCCCCATGTGCTTCAAGAATCAAAAGATTTTACAAGTTTTTCATACGGATGCAAGAGATCGAAAATATTCGGAAAAATTCAGGTAAGCATGTGGCTGTATTTCTTTCTTCTGAAATACATCAAGGCGATGACCTTTTTACTGTTCAATCTAGAGGCAAACAATGTGCTTTTATGAGTTAATTTATCGGCAGTTTCAATCTAGAGGCAAACAATGTGCTTTTATGAGTTAATTTATCGGCAGTTTTAACTGCCCAAAATATCCCACTGATGGCACTGATGGATTGGTCAAAAACAACATTGAATAATGTCTTATTATAATACATCAGACAGAATGTACTTGCAGGCTCTGGATAATACATGACTTTGTTGTCTTAGAACCTTGGTCCGAATTTTTATCTGTAAGTATAACTTTACCTAAAGTTGTCAGTGTTTCAAGTTTTATATATACGATTACAAACATGTTTTCTTATATACGAGATTCTGTGATCGACACACATGCCAGCTCACCAGCTGTAGTGCATGCGAATACAACTACATTACACCTGGCTGTGGACCCTTTGATGCACAAAATAACATAATTGAACTACCCATGGTGGTATGACAGAACAATAACAGTATACCCATTGTGGTAGGAAAAAATAATAACAGTCTACCCATATTATGGTGGAGCCCATTGTGAGAGCCTGTTGAGGCAAAAAGTATCACTGATCTGTCACCACTGTGGCAAGTTAACAGTAATGCTGATCTATCCATTGGGGTAGAGCCCTGTGGTAGACTAGAGCTAACCTGAGATCAGACTCTATTTTACAAATATAGCCTGACACAAACCTTAATCCGATCGCTTTCCACCAACAGAAATTTAAATTTCACACAATGACAACAACAATCTAATTATAGTTGTGATCACAAAAAATATATCAACAACTGGTCATAATATAATCTAATTAGCACCAACCAATCAAATGACAGATTAAAAAATATTTTCTCTCAGACCAATCAGATTTACAACCAAAATACGGTTGTAAGGCATGGACTTTTGTTAAGGTTTGTGTCAAGCCTATTTATTTATAGGCCTGATCACAGGTTAGGGTAGAACAATTCCAACTTTTAATTTATGCATGCAGGGAATGACGGGAAGTAAGGTATCATATTGTTGATTATGCTGAAAAATGTCAATATTTACAAGCATTAGCTATCACTTTGTGTTTTATTTTTTTTTCAGCATAATCAGCAATATGATACCTTACTTCCCATTCCCTCTGTGCACACACGCATAAACTAAAGGCTGGAATTGCCTATTCTGCAGTTAATTTAATATCTCACGCTACCAATTATTTTTTTATAGTTTTGCAATTCTGATGGATGTGAATCATGCCATGTTAACTGCTGGATGAAACCAAATGGTTATTACAGTCAAATTAAAATATAATATGGATATATTACATCACATGTAATAGGATTATTACATTGCATGTAATAGGATGGGAGCTTCTGGATTAACAGAATTGTATTCCTATTAAATACAAGAATGCTGATTTACAAGATTGTATGGATATATTGCATCTATTGCAATGGGATGGAATCTGCCATGTATTACTAAATTACCGTACCATATACTTTTTTCCAATCTACCATATGGATGTCAGGAACATTGTATGTCATCATATTACAAACTTGTATTATCTGTATATGTACAGCAACCTATTAAGCTATTGAGCAGTAACGATGGCCAACAGTGGACACTACATGATGAATATGATAAACTACATACTGATTTTTTTCGGTGTTGGTGTTGTGTACTCAGGTGAATATGATGTTTGTGATGTTACTCTGAGTGTATATCCACACCAGGAAAGCTTGAAAAATATGCCTGGTCATGGTGGGCTGGTGTTCCAAAGATCGTAGGTTTGACTCCCACCATGACCAGGCATATTTTTCAAGCTTTCCCTGTGTGGATATACACTCAGAGTAACATCACAAACATCAAACTACATATTGGACCAAAAACAATGGTAATACTTGTTTACCAAATGAAAACAAACCAAAGACCATCATTACTTGTAACAAACTTAATCGTACCACGTTAAAAGACATATTTGTTCTTCCTAATTATTTTCTTCAAGACATTTTCACAAGTGAAGACTAAGTAATGATTTTTATTGACATTTAATGTCAGTTTAAAATATTGGCACCAAAAATAACATGACATTGTATAAACGCAAAATTCCGAAGTACACTTTACACATATTAAAGCCAATTTAAATAAATGAAGTTTATTGGTATAATCAATCCCCAGGGTTTTGGGTTTAGCTGACCTTTTACTTTGTGTAAGGTGTTTGATATTCAAATTTCACTTTTCCTGCCTCCTGAACAAGTGTCCTAGGGGCTGTTTGCATGATGGAAGATGATTTTGATGTATTGAAATAAGTTACTAGGCTATTTATAGTAAGCAAAAGTTCAAATGCTGGTTAATTTAACAGAACTCAAATGTTGTAGAGAAGATCTTGTAGTTCAAGAAGATTATTATTGCTGCTTGAACAACCTTTCGTTTACAGTATGAGGTGTTTTGCTGAATCATAAACCGTGACTTATTTCAATATATCGAAATCACCTGCCTCATATCTCTTCCTGGCAAAGCGGTATCGTATAAACAGCCCCTTATTCAGCAAATTGTGTATGCTGCCTTTCATTCCTTGGGGGTGAGGCAGCAGTTTCCTTGCGATAGTAACTTCTAGTTACTTAACAATAATGTTTCATAAATGTGACAATTCCAATTATTCATTACGGAGCAACAATTTAAAATTGAGCCTTCCTAAGCCAAAAACAGATTTTCTAAAAAGAAGCTTCTCCTACCGTGAGGCTGTCGCGTGGAATAGTCTACCCTTTGAACTTTTACGAGTGGTAGACGAATCTTAATCTATTTCTTCTTTTCGTAGCTTAGTTATAAATAATTAATAATTATTATAAAACTTTGTAATAGCTTGTATATATTGTAATATTTTAACTACTTATAAATGTTGTAATTCTTTTTAAACACACGGCCCTTTGAAAATCACACAAGTGAAAGGCTACCGTGTTTAAATATCTTTAAATAACAATAATAATAATAACAAATTTCTATTGCCATCACTCTTCCGGATGAAATGACACTTTTTTACTATTATTTTATGTTTTTCAACCCCAAGCCAACTGTATTTAGAATAAAGCTAAAACATGCGACATAGAAAAAAATTGCCTGTTATTAATATATTGTGTAGATATAGTTTATTACAAATATTAGCTAGTCATACGACTAATTGGAAGATCACTTTTTTGTTTTGTAAATAATTTCAGTGAAATATAGTACCGCGCTGAAATCAGTTCCAAAAGTACATTCGATTAATAGTTTTTATTTTCTTAATCTTGTAACTCACACTTCAGTTCAGTTGATGAAGATCTGCTATTCATCGTCGATATTGTCACAAACATTTAACAAACTGGAGGAATCACGTGACAACCAGGGGCAAGGTCTGAACAAACATTTAAAAATCGACCTGAAGCACGTGAAGAGAACACGAACAAAAACGGAAATTATAGCAAAGCATACAAGAAGCAAAAGAATGGCTGGAAACAGTCCTAACATAACAATCTCTAGCCATTGAAACACTTTCAAAACTGTTACTAAAGAACCCTTGATATTTTGTTCGGAACCAACGAACACAGACTTAAACTGGTTGATCAAGCCTAAAATGACCAAAAAGAACAAAGAAAGAGACTCGAGATTATTTGCTAACGAATTTTGAAATGGTTTAACCTTGAGATGACAGCAAAGCACAGAAACACAAACAAGTGTCATACAGAATAATCTGACAGATGGTTCTGTTACGACACAGAAGATTAAAACCAAAATAAATCGACGAGCAATCAAGACACTCTGCCAATATAAAGCCCCTCGCTTGCTTCCACCTTTCGGCTGTCTGTAAGGAGCCAAGAGCATCTCTTTTAATGCGTTTAAATTTTGGTTTTCTTCCACATTCACAACTGAAAATGGACAAACAAGGCGGAACATCCATAGCAGCAAGAATGGAAGGGGGAAGATGATGGCAAGAAGAAACTGTTGGATTGTTATTTTATCATGGTGAAGTTTGAACGAAATCCAAGCAAGCACAATTATAAAAGGAATCACAAAGATAGCATTAAAAGTGAATGACGCATATTGCCACCATTGGTAGCACAAGACATTTCCATTGTAGAACCAGCGAGCTTTACCTGAAACAAAAACACAGCGAATGAGCGAAATACTGACAGTAGCCAAGGTTACGTAGCCAAGAAATACAGTTTTAATACTGGCTTGGAGGTATGGAGAAATAGCAGGACGAAGGGAGCCCCTCGTACGACTGATGAAGAAATGCAAGGCGTAGATAAGGAAAATAGCAACTAAAGTTCCGAAGACAGGAGCAATTTTAAAACCGAACTTTGTCACTGGAGTGAGACCTGGAAAAGGACACAGAAAACCTTGTTTCTTAAAACTTGGTTGGAAATTGAAGAAGCCCAGAACAGGTACCAGGAATTGGGTGTCAAAAAATTCCGTCAGAGAACTCGAGGAAAGAAGTAATTGTGCTATTTGATAGAAGTAGAAGATAATCTCCACAAAGCGGGAAAATTGTCTTTTGTCTTGTTTGAGTTGCTCTGTTGAAGACAACGGTACGTTTTCCTGTCCGGTTTCTTCGTCCACTGAGAGGGAGCGAATTATCTCATGATTGGCTTGAATGTTTGCTGTACGACTGCCTGTAAACCTTTTAAACCAAAATATCTGTTTTAAAGAATACGTCACGAATGGAGGCTTGAAAATAAGAAGAATAGCCATAAAAAAGACAAGTGCTAGAAACAGAATCCAAAACCAATGATCGTGGCAGTCTTTGACTGGTGTACAGTACGTTGACCACAGCGCTTCTGTATAGCCTTGAGAACACACCCCACACATAACTCCTGTACGTTTTCCTTGGCAATCATTGTATTTACTACTGTTAGCTGGCGGTGACTTGCAGTAACCGAACGGACAAATTGTGAAGCCTAGTTTAGGAGGATTCGAACTGGTTTGGTATCCCCAAAAATTGAGCTTTGACTTGATGGCTGGAACACAATCTGCTCCGCGCGGGCATGGTATGCATTCGAAACTATCGTCTACATTCCGTCCCCTTGCTGTTCCTCTTTGCAGAGAGTAGAAATTGTAGTCGCATGCCTTACAAGACAAAGTAAAAGAAGTAACAGGACGTTTATTAGTGCCGAAGTAAGAATAACTAGTCTTTTCAATAGCATGACCCACTGGGCAATTACTTATCGAAGCATTGTCAAATGATACCCGATATACTTTGGAGACCAGAATGAGCGGTTCATCGGATTTTGTGTCCCAGTTGAATATTGTGTTGTAAACAAATAGCGTACCAGAGTTGTATAACCTTAAGAATGAAGTGACCATGAATTCTTGTGTATTATTAATTACGATTTTTTGAATTGTTTGTTTAAACACCGAATGTGCTACATACAGATCGACTGAGCCACGCGCAGCGCTAACAATTTGGCCGCCTTGAAAACTTGCAAAATTATTCAAAAAGGTACAATTCGTGAACACCACTTCGCCGCTTGTCATAAACAAAACAGTTCCAGTTACCGCTATATTTTCTTGGAATAATACCCTTGTAATAAAAGCTCTGAAAATCCCTGAAAATGAGTGAGTGCTGGTTTGGTTGAATTGTTCGAAATCTATAGCCAGAGCTCCACCTGCAGAACCGCCTATATTCTTGTTTCGGACAAAGGTAGAATCGTATATGCTTAGATTTGTAGTTCCACTGAAATACACTCGAAGTGCTGCACACAAATTGTTCACAAACGTCGTGTTCTTGAAGAAAATCATTGAATTGATTAATTTGAGGTTTATCACCGCGTTTAGGCAACGTAGAACACTATTTGAATCGAAGATTGAATGTTTGCATGTTAGTACAACGCGTCCTTCCACATTTACAGTGTTCCCAATATTTTCTCTAAATATGCAGGTATCTAGAGTTACAAACGGTAACGTGAATTGACTCAAAGCTAGGAGAGAGATACCGAACTGCGCTAAATTCCCAATGAAACGCGTATTTTTAAAAACAACATTGATTTTAGTACTTTGAACCGAAAGGAAAACAATACCGCAAGAATAACCTGGCCAACATGCAACTATCTTGTTTTGGACGAATATTACGTTAGTCATAGACAGAGTGAATGTAGAAGACTCTTTGAGGGTTCCAGCTTCAATAATTCCTCCAGCATCAGCACTATTCTCTAGGAAATAAACATTGTGAAGGTTGATTTTAGCAGCATCGTTCGTGATCAAATTCAGCGCGCTACAACGTGTGGCAGCATTTCGGACAAAGGAACTATCGCCGACAGTCGCCAACAAGTTTTCAGCTAATACCGAAACTACAATGCCCTCCATATATGAAAACGAAGAATTGATTATGCGTACATGAACAAATAATTTTTTGCTTTGATTTGTTGATTGTAAATATGTGCTCCGTTTTGATTGTATAAACACTGTGAAATTTCCAATAATATTCTGAATGGTCGAGTTTTGAATGGTTAGCACCGAAATTGGCGCAAAAATTGAGAGGACACTGGCGCCTTTACCTTTCTTATTTCCATTACGAAAACAGGAATCCTTGATTGATAGGTAACTTGAATCACTTTGAAATAGGTTTACTATGCCACCTCCTGGAGTTACCGAGTGGAATACGTCCACCTGAATGTTTGAGATGTTGATTTGCGCTGAGTTCCCGGTCACAGTTAGAAAAGTAGAAGATGTTTCATGAACAAACCCGGACTCCAATCTTACAACTACCCAAGCAGATAGCAGTAAAAATAAACCGTCAAATTCTATATTATTTGGATTCGTATGGCTATTTTCTTCCATTCTGAATTGATTTAGTAAAAAGTTTGTTGTTCCAAATTTGTTTTCAACTACAATCATTCCATTTTTCTTAAAAGTGTTCTTCTTAAAACTGCAGTTCCTTAGTTGAATGTTGATCAAATTTTCTCTGGAATTTAACCAAAGAACAGACGGTGTGTCCAAAGAGAAATTACCATTTTGATTGAAAAACGTATTCGTTATGTTAACAAAAATCTTGCTGCCCTTACTAGGCTTTATTGTCATGCACGCTGCATTTTGTTGGAAAACAACATTTTTCAGTGATAAATCCAACCGAGGCAGATTTAACACTTCAATATCCAAACTTACAAGTTTGGTTTCCGCAAATACAGTATCACTGGCTGCCAAAAAAGCATCGAAAAGCCGTAGAGACGTATTCAGAAAAGTCAGACTGGAAAAGCTAATTCGTACACCGTCTTTGAATTTAGTTCCGTCCACCAACCACGGGTTGGCATGGAGACACGAGATATGAGCACGTGATCTTATACTGACAAACGATACGCTCTTGTTAAGACGAATTCCCGAATATATTGGGTCTAGAGCTTCGCAGGTATAAGGATTCTTGGATGTAGCTGACCCATCCAGGTAGATATATGACCCAGATGACACTTGTTGTATGCCCCAAGATATTGTACGACACGGAGAATTTAGTTTTCCACATGTCTTCCTGTCATTCCCACTGAGACGAGATACGTAAATTCCTTGGTCTGACAGTACAAAAAAAGCTAGGAAAAATAAAACCCAAATTAAGTACAGTGAAATCACTACAACAGACAAGTTTTGATCTCGATTTTTTCCTTGAAATCCTTATATTATTAAAACAGAGTTTTCGGGCATCTCAATTTATTGAACTAATATTGAAGGATTTTGTAGATGGCAATTTCAAGTGTAAATTTTACACACTTACTTAGACCTAACTAACCGGGAGCAGCTGCGAGAAATGCAACTATAGGTCCTCTGGCAGGCATCGAAGCTGTTTCCCTGTGATTCCGGTGCAGCGCACTAATGAACTAAGCTACAGAATCCGGAGCCCAAAATTCCTGATATTTAACAGTTATTCTACGAACTCGAGTCGAATATGAGCTCATATACGACGAGAGTGAGTGGAATAACTGTTTTATTATATACACAAGGTCTGAATTCGCAGACTTTGCTTTTCGAATATTTTCAATATTTTTGTATTTTGTTTATGTTTTTATCTTCGCTCTTTTGGCCGATTATTTTTTCAGAAATATATATTTTTAACCATTTTAAATTTTAAAAATTTATTTGCTAACCTGAAAACAATTTGTGGGAGTTTTTTCATTGTGTTTTTAATCCTGTGAAGGCTATAAAAAGCGACAACTTGCCGTTTTCTTGTTTGCAAAACATCGTAAATTCAGTTTGGCCGCCATTTTGTTTTTCTCTACTAGCAGGATATGAGCTAATATCCTGCTAGTAGAGAACCAATCAGATTGCAGAATACCTCATATCCAGACCTTGTGTATATAATAATTACCCATATACCTTACCGTGACATCACCTTAGTATATACACGAACTTGCGGTTTGAGTTCGTCAGCTGGATTCTGTCAGTATAGCTCAGTTGGTTAGAGCGCCTTACTGGAATCGCAGCCCTGCAGGTTCGATTCCTGTCAAATGGTCTATAGTGGTATAGTTGCATTTTCGCAGCTGCTCCTGGTTAGTTTGGTTCAAATAAGTGTATAAAATTTACACTCGAGATTTCCATCTACAAAATCCTTCAATATTAAAAACCTTTGGTAATGCCTATCTTCGGACGACAGACACAATTCTGAAAATATGTAACTAAAAACAACTTCGATATTCCTATAAAAGTTTGTGTGTGAAGAGCAAACTGCAACATATATGAGCATGATAATTTAATCCCGCCTCGAATCCTAGTGCCTGTACAGACTTTTATGCGTGCACACGCAAGTTATTACAGGTCTGAAAACAAGTTGTAACAAAGATATCAGGATGTGTTCGTACTGCTTGTTCCCAGTTGTTGTGACAAGTCTGGAATAAGTTGTTATCACCTTGTTACAGGGTTGATGACGGTAACAGACTTGCTACAAGATGTTCTAACTGCATGAAACAAGACTAATACAGGCTGTTCGTAGCAAGTGTCTACGAGCTTGTTGTCATCAACTTGTTATGTGCAGACGATATCAAACTTTGTTGCAAGTCTGTTGGCCTCATCAACCTTGTTACAGACTTGTCAATAAATGAGAACAATCTGCAGTGCGAACACATCAGTTAAATGTTTACGCTTGTATATGTAGAAACACTGGCGTAGCCAGGGACGCCGGAACTGGGGGGCAGGGGGGGCGGCTGCCCCCCTTGCCTTTTGCTAGGGGGGGCAGGGGGGGCAGAAGTGCCCTTTTAGTTGTAAAATAATACGTGATAAATCACATTTCCAACGATGCTTTTTGTAGGAAAATCACGAGATTCAGGTAATTTATAGTTTATATTTATAAAAATTTTGGGAAATTTTTGGAATTTAGAAAAATATTTTGAAGAAATGGCGAAAAATTAAGATATCTGGAAAAATTTTTGGCTTCACGGAAAATTTTTGTATGTCCGGAAAAAATTTTTGACCCCTAAAATGGTACACTGCAGTGAAAAAAAATTTTTTAGTAAAGGTGCCCTTGGTGTGCGTCCGCCCCCCTTTGCCCTATTATCGTTCCGGCGTCCCTGGGCGTAGCTACGGTCTTGACTTTAGAGGAGCAAAAGCAAACATAATCGTAGATTCCCAACGACGTGGCATACCAACTTGGAGAACTTTGTGAAAGGCAATGTAACATATCTTTACAGTAAAAAACTTATCTTGTTCAACTTTTTCATTGTCAAAGTTGCTAGATATTTAACAAATATAAAACATTTTCCGTGTTGATATAGACTTATATCAACACGAGTGGGAATTGGGAAAACGAGAAATTATGTTGAAACACGACGCCCGAAGGGCGGAGTGTTTTCACACAATTTCGAGTTTTCCCAATTTCCACGAGTGTTGATATAACTATATATCAATACGGAAAAAATGTTTTATATTTTTTTTATAATATAGCAATGTCAAAAGCCCGAAGGATAAGAAAAATTTCCGTATTTACAAGCGGCGGAAAATTTCCCGTGTTGACATTGAGTTATATCAACACGGCTCTTAGCCAATCAGCGTTCAGAATTTACAAATGCTATATTATATAATCATATAATATCATTAGATGAATTCTAGCAGCAAAAACAAAGACTTTGACGGAAAACTATATTTTGCAACTCATCTATCTATAATGACGTCGTGTTCTCAAATCAAAATAAACAGAAATAGTCTTTAGTCTACTCTAATGTGACCAGATTCCAGCGGTTATTACTAAACTTTGTGGTCAAAATGTACTAAATCGAGAACAATTTTGCCCAATTAATTTCACCTCACCCCGGTTTGATAAGCGTCTATGGTGACAATATACACACCACCATCAAGACCGCGGGGGTGAGGTTCATCAATATATTAATTAGAAGTTTAATTGGCATTAGGTAAATGTTTTCGTCAAAAACAATAGCGCAATCATGGGTTCTCGACAGGGCAACTATAGGTTGGATAAATTAGCCTAAAAATCCACTAATTTAATTCATATTCCATGTTTGAAATTAGTGGGTTTTGCAGGCTAGAGAATTTCATTAATCGCTTTAGCATCTCCATTACACAAGATACCATTCATGATTCAAACACAATTTTTACCAAAAAATTACTGAATTGTTAAAATCTCTACAAATTTTACAAAACTTTTACTTAAAAAATCTCATTACTAAAATGTTTCCAAAATTGACAAAAATTTTTCCAAAAGTAAAATATATTACCAAATCTGGTCACATTCATTTGCCTATACGTCTTGACACTCTTGTAAAAATACATATAATAAAAGTAACAATCTAACCGTACAAAATTTACATCAGATTTGCCTAAACACTAATTAACAATTAGTCGCCGAAGGCGAGGTGATTACAAGCCTATATTCACTGAGCCGAAGGCGAAGTGAATATAGGCTTGTAATCACCGAGCCCGAGGCGACTAATTGTTTTAGTATAAATTTCCAGGTGTTTACAAACAATAATCCACACAACTTTATAAAAATTCACTTCAAATAAATTTATTTTCACTATAAATAGTTTGTTTACAAAATTTAAATCTCATGCAGACACGGCTTTGTGTCGCGTTGCGACTAAGCCAGTTTTTTTCCAAATAAAAGCACGTAAAGTTTATATTTTACCTTGAAATATTTTTAAGCCATATTTTGTAGCTTGTTTGGGCTTTTTCGGAATACTATCTTCTTTAATTTTGGCAATTTCCTCCTCTGTTACTACGGCAAAACGAGCAGCCATTTTGAAAAAAAAGCTATAGTCACTGACCAGTGACTATCACTTCAGAGACAGTGAATCTTGACCAATCAGAATGCAGAAAAATCAATAGTCACCTGGAAATTTATACTAATATGTAATATATACTAATCCACATTATAGATTATTTTAAACAAATGTGTCTTAAGTTTGCTCTTGAAGCCTGATAGCTTATTCCACGACCTATATTGCTATAAGTTCATAAGTACCATTTCCTGCATGGGGCTTGAAACGCGAGTACCATTTCTCGCGGCTTGAAATTAACGCTGACGTTTTTATATTTGTGCTTGCGGTTATAAACAGAGCGAGGACGATGTCAAAAACTCCCGGAGCCCGGAGGATTTTCATTTTCCATTTCTTTTTTGAAAATATGGTTACATGTTCATGTTTCGCGCTAAGAGGGATCGGGTTGTGAAAGGAATTGTCATTTGAAATCATTTACAAGTAATGACTAATGATTTAAAATATATAAAATCTTATGAAACGTACTCCTGTCAAATTAACCAGCTTACTGTACAATTTAAAACGTTTCGAACGTTGGATGATTATGTAAATAAATACAACTTCCCTCATTATTGTATTTTATTTTGTTATTAATCTATACATATATATATATATATATATATATATATATATATATATATATATATATATATATATATATATATATATATATATATATATATATATATATATATATATATATATTATATTATATTTTCTATTATATTTTCTATTCTTTCGACATCATGTAAACAATATTGATTCATTAGTAGATTTTGTTAACTATAGTGACTGGGAGTCAAAAGCCCATCCGGGTTTCATAAAGATCCCTACGCCTAATTTTTCTAGAAGTGCAAATAATCTAGTTTTTACTATAGCTAGTGTGTGTGCAAAAACAACGAAAATTTTAAACAAAGTCAAACTCAATCTAACGTCTTCCAGCATCAGCTATAACACTGCCAAACGAGGTCAACAATTAATTTCATTGTACGGCATTTCAACCAATAGTCATCGTCGTCACGTTGCCCTAATTAGCCTAATATAAGTTGTATAGCCATTTGTTGAAACAATTTCTCTGCAACAATGGCATAATTTCAACTTCAATTAGTCGCTTGGTTGAAGAAACCATCTTGTGACTTTGCTATGCAGACATCTCAACAAAATAACGTGTTGCATTTCATAAGTTTCTTCCTTACCTGATGTATATAAAATTATGCCCAGCTTCAACCACCACGTAAAACCCATTTATAAGTTGATATATTTTCAAGCATTGATACTCATAGTTCAGCAATTGATAGTTTAATTGTGCAAACTGATCTGAAGGAAACTGAAACAGCAAGAAAATCGCGGAAATCACATAAATTATATGGTCTACTTCTTTGCACTATTGTTTTGCACTTCCTTCAATTATTTCAATTTTTGTTTATAATTAGAGGCTATTGCAAAATCAGTCTTCCTGATAAAATGTGTCTTTAAATAAATAGTGTTGTATTAAATACTCGCTACTAAAGAAACGCGCTACTATACTATAGTTACTTTTTGAGTAATTTTTCGGTAGTTGATTACGTTTCATCAATATATGGCGCCTTTTTGAGGTTGTTAAAGAAGTGGCCGAAAGTGACAAAAAACTATATAAAGGCTAACCAACCCTGCTTAACTTCTCGTCAAATTTTGGCTAGTTCTTCAAAAACCTCAAAAGTTGTAAAAAAACACTTTTCGCCGAAAAAAATAAGTTTTTCCAATGTCGATGAAGATATATTGCATTTCTCATTACATTATAGTGACGTGACATATTGCGGCAAGCAACGTCATCTTACTGAAACTTTTAGATTTTCCACTGCGCATCCAAATGACGCGTTTTGCGTCGGGATTAAAATGCAATTGAATCATAACTGTAGTTGGGACTGAAAGCATTAAAATCTGCATGTCAAAGTATTGAATTTTTCAATCATTATTTATGTTTCACTTGGGGCCACAATGTAGAACCAGATAGATAGAAAGATAGATAGAAAAATTTTATTTAGCCACGTTAACTCGGTTAACCGGAGCTGATTTTTACATGGGGCGTTTAAAAAGACACAAGAGTATAATATACATATAGGCCTACGGGAGCTGCCCCCCCCCCCCAAAAGATCAGAAAGTCGAAAAGTCGGGCAAATGTTCAACAAAAGTCGGGCAAAAGTCGGGCAAAAAGTAGTCAAAGCAAGAAAATCTCTCTTAATAATAACCCCAGTTTGTTGGGCAAACAAAGTCAGTTGGGCAATATTCGCTTCACAGTCGGGCAATATTTGGTTATTATAAAAATAAATGGAACAAATTATGTCAATTTTGTGGGAAATTATGTCAATTTTTCGATGTTTGGGAAAATTTGTTTGATGTTCCTATTTATTCCTCGATAGATAGGTTGTGGTAAACAAAGACCACTCGAAATGTCCTGACGTTTATAGTTTGTCACATCATTTTTATAAGTAAAAAGGTTTTTAAAATTTTGTACATCATTTTTGTTTTTGTCCTTTTTCTTATCATCTTGACGTCTTCAGTTCTTATCAAACGCGTCATTTAGATGTGCAAATTGCTTATCCGACTCAGATAATGTAAAGTTTTTGACTAAGTATGACGTACACGATGCTAGTTTGACGTTTGTGAAACTTTTCTGATTTTTTCTATTTTCAAATTTTTTTCTTCAATTTTCTCCCGTTATGAGGGCCGACTAGGGAGTTTAATCTTTGCGTTCAAACGTCGAATGGCAAACACCAGGGGAAGAAAGAATTTACGCTACATGGTAATAAATGGGAAATCAACTTGCTATTTTAAAACTGTAATGTATGATGATTCTTTTGAGATAAGAACGAGAAGATGAAGCGAAGGAGAGTAAGCAAAAATTCTGCCAACAAAATTCGACCAAATGCCGTTTGCCGTTCCCGCGAACGTGAGGTCTGTATAACAGAGAAATATCGGACCTCAGTCTTTTAAGTTATACAAATCTCGACCTACGGGCTTGGTCTGTAGTCCGAGACCTGCCTCATATCGATTGCAATTGCACTGCACTGTCAAGCACTAAGCAGTGGGGTCAAGTAACGAAGTAAATGTACTTTTTTACAAAGTAAACTTTTTCTGCAGTACTTTTATTTGGAACGAAGTCGTTTTAAGAAGTAACGTTTTACTTCGTTATTTTCATTTTGTGGCGAAGTATTTCGTTACTTTCTAACTTTTGTTTAATTTTACGTAATTTATTCCCAATTTATTTTACTTGTGGGATAGGTAATAGGACCTTTACATGCGTTTGGGATCTCTCGTTTGTGGCTTACTTATAAGCATTATTAGTTTAATGGATTTCTTAGAGGGGGGCAAGGGTATTTTCGTGACTCGTGATTAGCAATTATTCGTGATTCGTCATTTGAAGAAATAACATTCCGTGAATCGTGATTAATATGCGTGCCGTGAATCGTGAAGAGCTAAAAGGGCTAGCTAGGGTCTTGAATTTTCCAATATTTTACCCTAAATTGTGAATGTTTACGTTTAAAACTCGACCCAAATTTAATATCAACGTTAAAAAAATGAAAAAATTTGCTTCCCGCGGTTGTCTTTCTTTAGGTTTCTTCGTTTCATCGTAAACGTCGTTCTCGTGTACCTTCGTACCTCTTCGTAGACTTCGTGAACCATCGTAAGACGCTCGTAATGTTTCGTAATGCCTTGCAATGATTGATAGTCCTTTAAAAGCTCTAAGGGACTGGTCATTATTTATGGAAGGGGGGGGAGGGGAATTTTTTCTTTTCTGAATTTTTAAAATTGAAAGCCACCCCCCCTAAAGAGCGGAAATTTCATGATGACCCCCCTGCATATTAGAATATTTTTCTTTGACCCCCCCCCCCATTTTCATTTTTACTCGTCAAATGGGGATACCCAGGCGTTATAGTGTTAATTATCAAATAAGAATATGGAACTGGCAAGATATTAACGTCGACCAAAAATATATATTAGCAGAAAATTATGATTAATAAAAGAGGAGTATTTTTATATATAACACTAAAATCAGGTTTCCATTTGGTCTGGGTGATTGTAACCATGTTTAAGGCTGCAATAGCAGCCGTAGTAGGTAATGTTGCCATAGCAGCTGCGCAGCAACAATGAGAGTAGGCTCGGTCCCAGCCGTTCCCTCTAAGAGGGAACGGATGGGACCGAGCCTACAATGGGAGCAACAATCAGTAATATTAGCAGCAAAAGGAGATAGCAATAAAAATTCTGCCAAGGCATACCTGCGAAATACAATGTATAGTTGTCTATACATCCTATTTTATGTGAGATTAAAAATTATATAAAATAAAATAAAATGACATATACTAGCTACCAGATAAAATCCTTTAGAATGAACGTGGGTGGGTGGGGAAAAGGTATCGAAGCGCAAAACTTGCTGCAGCTAGGCAAAGCATACAATGGCAGAATGAATAGTAAATACCCAGACCGAAGCACTGATTACAAAGCATGAAACAATCCCCTTTGATCGATATGACGTGACAGACTCCCCTCAGCGGATGTGGCCTGCATAATACATCCGCCGTTAACCTTGCTTAATTTAAATGTATTTAACCACGTCAAGAGCTGATGTAATAATACATTGTCAATTTAACTAGTCTGCAATCCGTAAAGACTGATTTGCATACATCACACATAATACAAGATGAATCCAGACTATTTCACATCAGTGACCATGATTTAGTTGCAACATTTACAACCAAATGGATACTAGGTTATTAAGCAAATTCCTTCAAATTTAATTGCCCCCCCCCCAATCATTTTCTTGAAAAAATTTAATAGCCCCCTCTTCTAGTCATTTATTTCTACATATGGCCCCCCCTTATTTTCTCTCCCCCCCTTCCATAAATAATGACCGGTCCCTAATGTTAGGTTAAAGTCAGTAAAATGTGTTTGTGTTAACATCGATTTCTGCTGTCTAGAAAATCGTTAAATAGTTTCAGACTTTGTTTATACGCTTCTGTGTTTCTAAAAATCGTGAAAATGAAATTTTGTTTTTCGTGACTCGTGAAATCGAAAAATGATCTTCGTGATTTCGTGAAGAGACCCCCCCCCCTTGCCCCCCTCTTCTTATATCTTCAGCGGGGTCTGGAAAGTAGACCATGCCGTGAAATATTGTATATTTATAATGCGTGTGCTGTTTTGTGTTTGTTTTTTTGTGTCTCAATCCATGAATGGAGAAGTCCCCACTCTACCACGATTAATAGTACTTTCATTTTTACTTAAGGATACTTTGTACTTTTTACTTAAGTACGTTTTGCCTCCAGTACTTTTTAGTCTTACTCAAGTCGTTTTATTGTTAATTCTACTTTTACCCGAGTATAAATTCAATCGGCACCACTGCGCACAGACAGGTCCGAAGACCTCGCGTGTTCATGATAAGAAGTTTATAATGAATATAACACAAAGTATATGGCTTAAAATTCTGAATCCAACATGGCCGAAAAGAAAGGACTTTGAAAATAAAAAAAATATAAAAATAACCAGAAAGAAAGCGATTCTGTTGAAGATGAAACTTTGAAAACTAACAGCGAAGAAGAAAAGAGTTTGGATTCCGTTGAAGTGCAAAATAAATAGAAGGCAAATGATTTTATTAAGCGCGAAAGAAATGCATTTGGCAAAAAGACACAACATATTAGACGTTT